AGTGTATTTCGTTCGCTCGAACTCGGAGGGCCTGTGCAAATTTGTTCGAGAGATCGGTAGTTCGAGCCAACCGAGGTCGAACTATTATTACGCTGATCATATGTCTTAAGGTTTATAGCATACATTGGTCGGATGATAAATACGTAAATATAATTGTTTGTTAGTACATTTGTTCGTCGAATATGTCATATTCAGAATTATTATCCCAGTGTTTTCAATTAAGTATTAACGGTATGTTGTGTTAATCTATATTCATGCATCTTGTAATTGGTTGAGTTCGATTGGGCAATCAAACCAAACTTCAAAATATATTTATATGTTTATAATGGGACTTTTTAATTTTAAAAAATAAATTAATAAAATATTTAAGAAAAAGTTCTACAGCAGCATTTATTTGTAGTCATTTACTTAAATAAACACACATACAAGTATCATTCGATAAATACATAACACTATTACAATTCACGTTACATGAACTACGGTTGTAATTAAAGCCGTCCGGATAAACGTCATTCTTTATTGACTTTTGCATATTTCACTTATTTCACAAGTTATTTTCTTTTTATCGTTACCATAAACGGCAAATAAACAATATTATTGTAACAAACAAATCGGTTACAACACCTCTTATTTTGTATCAATTAACCTTAATTGCCTTTGTCATAATCACGAGGTGTTAAAAACATGTGTCGCCGACTGTCATTTATTTAGGACATGTCGACTTGTATTTTTGTGTTCGACCGAAAAGGTGTGATTTTCACTATATATCTGCCGAAGGGACCAGAGATCAGGTTCGAGAGTTCGAGCGATCGGTGTTCGAGCGATCCGAGGTAGAACAATATATATTATACAGGAATTGTGCCGGGACTGGGCGATAAGTTCGAGCGAAGGGAGGTATTCGAGCGATCCGAGTTCGAGCAAACGAAGTTTAACCGTATTTATCTATAGAGCGTTGTAAAAAACGTACTTTGTATGCAAACGCACGCAGGCAATCACGTGCACGCGTTTACAGAGCACGCATGCAGGTAAGGATGCGCAGACGATTACACAGAACGCACTCAAGCAAGCACGCGCACATATTTACATAGCCCTCACTCAGGAAAGCACGCGCACACATTTACACAGCACGCATTCAGGCAAACAAGCACGCGCACACATTTACGCAACACGCACTCAGGCAAGCCCGCGCACACATTTACATAGCACGCACACAGGAAAGCACGCACAAACGTATACACAGTACGCACGCATAAATTACAGCTGGCTGCTATAAAATGTATTATTAAAGCAGATTTGATAAAGAATTACTGAAAAACAGCTGTAACCATATTTCATAAATATCAAAGATATACACCTATTTTATTGTCTCTCTATAATCTTTATTGAATATTTAGCATGGCACGAATTATTACATTTTATGACTTGGACATGATAAAGTACGAATGTATTCCAATTTTCAATGTTGGAGGGTATCGCCTGTTGTATGCTGTTTTCAATATGTTCAAGTTATTGTTTGTTTAAAAGTGAAAGTAAAACTTATTAGAGTGATGTATGTAACTAAATTTAAATAAAATGGCATTTTTTCTCGTTATCGGGATGTAAATTAATATAAGAATTATTAACAAAATATGTTAATATGATATAAAGCAACAATAGTCTCTAAACCAAAGAAGATTAAACAACTTATAGGGTTTAATACTTTGTATGTACATGCATATACATGTTTTATGTCATAAAAGTAATGTTTTATCTTGTTTAAAACCGCTTCTATTTTCTAGACATATTTAAAGAAAACAGCATAAATATCTTAAAATATAGATAATTATTATGTACATTTTGATTGTTTAATGACATTCGACGTAACAAGCGTGCAGTGTCATGTCAAAATACGTTTAAAATTTCCAAACAAAATAACGTGTCAGCTGCGAAAGCTGCGAAAGATATCATATTTTAGTTTGATTGTATCTTTTTATTTATTGATAACTGGGAAACAAGTAGGATAATAAACATATATGTATGATGTTATCGTTCTTTTATCTTGAATACTTGTTAAAAAATCATGATACTGTACGTGATCCTAATCTGTCTTTTATATATCTGAACATTACTTTTTACTAACTCTATAGGCTTAAAAACATTGTTTATGACACGCTTATAGAACCCAGTATATCTTAAAACGTACTGTTTTACTTATGTTGATCCTTTTTAACCGTTAATTGCACCACATCAGTGTCACATATGTGTCATGTCATATACCGGTTAACTTTTAATTCCCTTATCGGTTCCCAAACAAAATTGAAAGAATAGAAAACCATGTACTAGTATTACTCTGTCTGTACAATGAAATTGGTAGAATGTTTGTTTGTTTCAATAAAAGAATATTACAGAACGTTACTAGTATAGATTTGACGTGTCCGACAAATCAGGTAGTGCGTATACCAAGTCCTCGCTATTTACTCATTTAAGAGAAGCAATTGAAAATGTTGCTAGCAAACGTTTCATTATGGTTTCATTAACTGTTATCTCCAGAAACAAACATAAGAATGTTGAAAAGACGTTACTGTATAGTTTTTGAGATTTCCATAAAATAGTTTATCATACTTGCAATATTTCTAGATAATTATACTTTGTGTAACAAGAAAAACCACTGTCAGCTGCAGATATCATCAATGCTTTGGGTTATATGTATCAATTTTATTGATTGATAACAGGCATAACAAACAAGATAATAAACATATCTATATATGATAGCATCATTCTTTAATCTTTATAACTTGTTTATATTATAATATATGTGTAATGTTAACATTATCTCTGAGATATATCGCCACCTTACCTTCATGTTTCATTCCTCAATGAAAGATGTTCAAAAAAGTTTACAAAGCTAAAGTGTCTGTATGAATAAACCTACGGCGACTTTTCAACATACAGTATACTTCAGCTGCCCACCAGAAAATCATTTACAAAGCAAGCATCATATGCAAGGAGAATTTAATTCCCTGAAGTAAAATATCTTAAAGTATATATGTGTTTTGAAATGTTTTCATACTTACATTTGCTTGCAAACAGATGTGTACAAGTCTCTAGACCAGTGTTATTTTGTACGAAGTTTCCATTTGTGCTTTCAGCGTAAAATTTTCGCAAAAATGATTGCAACAAAGGAGATTTGGTTTATACAGAATTTATTTTAGTTCGATTGTGTAGGAAGCTATAAGCTTATAGACACACTTTCGAGTCCGTTCCTGGAACCAACCAGTACTGAGCAATCAGTGTAAAGTTTCTTGCTCAAGGAAACAACGACTTGCCCCTGACGGATGCGGCTAGCAATCACGAGATTACTAGTCCGACGCAAAGGAGATTTACGATTAATTTAGATTACAATTGTCATAATATACATGTAATGTAAACCATTATCACGGACACGTACACGCTTGACAAAACAATTAATGACATGCTCCTTCCAGAATTTATATTCTGTCCAATGAAACTTCCCCGCCTTGATGACGAAGCAAGAATATTCACAAAGACGGACTTTGATTATAGTTTTAATTGGTGTTGTACTTCAAAATCCTACCGTCTGTTGAGTCCTTAACTTGTTCGTTTTTAAAGTTATTTAACTTAAATTTTCTCTGAGATGTTTTAAACATAGCAGCAGAGGAAGTCAACGTGACATTGTGCAGACACACCATCAGATATTTGAAATATACGTTATTAAGTTTAGCCCATTCATAACAAAATGCAAATTATTTGATGACCGTCGGCAACTCAAACCAATGTCGTTAATACTGAAAATTTCTTAGTAACTAGAGTAAATATTTTGTAAATGATTTGTTGTAATGTTAAATAATAAACTTAACGGTTATATGTGTGAATTATTATCTGTTTTAGCGTTTAAAATGAACCGTCTATTAAATTTGTCACGGACTTTTGGGACAACCCTCGTATGTCAATAAGATTTTATGTTTGTGTTTACTCAGATATGTTGTACTACCGTCCAATGTAAATGTTAATTTACTCGACAAATGTTCCCAAACATTTCAAACAAAATAGTAGCTTTTTGTATAAAGGTTTAAATAAGTGTGAAATAAAAGGGAAACACTGTTGAATAAAGTCTAAACACAAGTACAATGCAAACGATTTGTATAAAAACAGATGAGAACAAATACTAGTAGACTTGATCAAACGCTCCTCATCTTAACAGAAATACAATAGATCAAGGTATCATATAAACATTACAAAAGCATTGATCTAAATATATAAATATATAATATATATACATAGTTATTTATCATTAGACTGATATAATGGCTATTATAACACACATATCATACAAATTCGAATTACAATTAAATAATTTTCTTGAATAATCGAAAAAAAATTGTAACAATAGCAATCATGGCAAAAGAGAATAACACTTTTTATCATTAAATACTAATAAGTATTTGTAGTGTAATATGAGTTAAATAATTGTCTATGTATTATTTTCTTACATTTTTATTCTCTGAACATATTGAAATAACATGATATTTAAATATAGCATGCCAGGTCTAAGGTTTGAGAAAGGATTATGTTTAATTTAATCTTCAAGACAAAATACCGAAACTGAATCTGTTTGCCCTTTAGTTTATAGTTTAGGGCCCCAAAATGAAATAGATTAAAACAACTACAGTAGAGTTCAATAGTCGGTTTAATCCCCCAAAACGGCGAATTTTACTGTTTAGTCTATTAACCGTCTTTAAGACTCTGATAAAAAAAACGTGTGCTTCAAAAATATAATAATTATATCACATCACTTAAACTTAAAAATAAAATAAGTACTGATATTTTATCTGACAGTGCTCGACAAATCTCAACTGTAACTACATGCATGTACTTAACGGACCTAGTTTAAACTTGATTCGGCATGGAGATTAATTTGCACAATGCAGATTATGATATAATGACATTCTATATTGTAAGAATGTATTTCAAACATGTTTTAATACCACCCCAGGTGATAATCATACTTTAGGACCTTTTTAAATGTTGATTTAATTTGACTACAATTGAATTAGTGTAGGTACTTATACAGAAAAATCGGTTTTGTGTATCTTCGATTAAATAAGTAAATAAAATATGCCACCGTTCTGAATTGACTAACTTATTTTGTGCAAAAAATATTTTGGATTATATGAACAGGTTTGGATGACGGTAGTGCAATTATCCTTTATTACTGATAGATCTAATTCTTGAGTCACAATGATGCATATTCGAGTAAATCGGAAGTTAAGTGGCTACATTTTTGTATCTGTGACTATTTGTTTGATATATATCAGATCAGTCGTTTATCAGGTCAAGCAACCGGTGATATTTGGACCGGAAAAGTATGGAAATTATACCGTGCAAATGCAGCCAAATTTGGATAAATTGATTGACTGGACAAACCCAAGATATCCATATAACGTGACGTACTTGATTGAGAATCCAGATTTATGTTCATCAGTTAAAGATTTAAGTGTTCTTGTTGTAGTAAATTCGGGGACTGAACACTTTGATAGAAGACTAGCTATCAGAAGAACGTGGACCAATAACAAATATTATTCTCATTTGGGCACCGTCAGAGTTTTATTCCTTTTAGGGATGACCGCTAACCCAGTAGTTCAAGAAGGTATAGAAGAAGAAGCTGAAGCTTTTAGGGACATCTTACAAGGTGACTTTATTGATACTTATTTGAACCTTACACACAAAGGTGTCATGGGTTTTAAGTGGATAACTGAACGTTGTCGAAACGCTAAAATGATAATGAAAGTTGACGACGATTTTGTTATAAATATGTTTCTCTACTTTAAAAAGCTGGACGGAGAATTGAAGTCTATAAACGTTTACTGTGAAATGCTAATGCAAGCTGTAATCCAGAGGAATATCACCAAGAGGTGGTATGTCAGTCCAAAACACTTCAAAGGCGAACTATACTATGAAAGATATTGCGAAGGCAAGTTTGTTAGTATGACAAATGATATAATACCATCATTATATAAGTCTGCCATGAGAACTCCATTCTTTCCTTATGATGATGTGTTATTATTTGGCTATGTTATGCATAATATACCAGGGCTCCGTTATAGAACAGATTCAATAGGAATGACTCTTTATAATGATATCGGCATTAACTGTTTACATAAACAAAAAAGTGACTGTGAAAAGTTTGTTATCGTGGCAAATAGCGCTATTCAAATGGAAAGAACATGGCTTACTATTCTAAAATACTATGTTAAGTGAGTTTATGCCCGTTTTTGTTTTCATAATCAAGTCCAGCGGAATTTACTATAAATTTCAAAATATTGACTGTATTAATTGATTGTGTTTAACCAAAAGTTAATATTGGAAAATGTTAGGGATGAAATAAAAATCTGCCTCAAATGCAAAAATACTGTCTCGCTCTTTTTTGATAAATTGAATTTTACAGGTAAATTACGATGGATATATAAAAACATTGATCGGGGCGTCTCGTGAGTTATTTACCGATTATGCGAAGAAAATCATCAAATCAAATTGAAACAATAACTTACTTGACACTATATACCTTTAGATTGGCATGATGCCACTTTACTGACAGATATACTGATATTAATACGAAATATTCCAACATTAGCAATAGATACTATGCAAATTGCTTTTAAAATAATAATAAAAAAAAAAAAAAAAACAACACATACAATACAGTTAATTTTATATTTTTTTATCAGATCGGTAAATTTACACTTGAATTCATAAAAAATATAAACACATACATATTTTGTCTATGGTGTCAGATTTTCTATGTATGTCATAATATTCAGAGATGGTCTTCAAACAGGAGTGGTCTATGCAAGGGTTTAAACAAATCAAACATGTGACATTTTCAATATCATGTTGTGAGACCTTATTGGTTTTAAGTTTTAACTAAATAAGTAACTTAAGTAACTGTACTGGTGTATGGTGACTTGTAGATGCCTGACATTATCTAAAATTGTCAGGCGAACTTAATATTACAATATTTATATAAGACAGTTATCATTATAAATAAATATTATGATAAAATGTTGTTGTCAGGCACAAATTTAGGATGTACTAAATTGTCAAGGATTTAGACAGATTAAGATTAAAATGTTTTTAATTAATCACTTATTATGTCCTAACCGCATGGCACAATCCGTCTTAATCCAAGATTATATTTTCTGTGTCACTATTCAATGGTTATAACGATCCAAGTTTTCAATTAATTCATAAATACAACGTTCTATTTCACCAGACAATATCTGGTAAAAAAGAAAAGCTTTTACAACTACGGCCAAATCAAATCTTCCAAAGAAAAATGGTGTTTCTACTGTCCTTTATAGCACCCATGCGTTTATTTAAGGTCGCCGCCGGAATGCCCATATGGGCGACCGTACACTCAAGTCGGGCCAGCCTAGAGCGTCCCGCCGAGATTTTTTCGTCGAGTTTGGAAGACCCCAGGTGCCCCTCCGGGCATTATTTCAGGCACGAGCGGGTACCTGGGTAGAACCACCGACCTTCCGTAAGCCAGCTGGATGGCTTCCTCACATGAAAGATTTCTACCCGAGTGAGGATCGAACCTACAGCAGTGAGGGACCTGTGATCTCAAGTCAGCGACCTTAACCACTCGGCCACGGAGGTGTTAGTCCATATTTATAGAGCTGTCCTGCATCAGGAAGAAGAGCATTGATGAAGGGGTGGGCGACTGTTTTGAGCGTGCGTGTCTCTAACTGACTTAACCCAATATAACCTACATCTCCTGACAATAAAATCACTGAAAGGCTGTTCGAAAGCATTTCGTGGAATCGCAAAAATGCTGTTTTCCATTTAGTTTTATTTAACCGTTACTTCTGTACATGTTTTAATGATGCAATAAACGCTGTATTTTCCATAATTAATTGCAATTTTAATTGTAATTTCATTGTCTGAAAAAATAGACACATTAGACTGCTGGCACCTTTCGACGTCAAAACTATCTATGTCAAAACCTTTGTTTTATTAGCATTCAATATATTACGCCAATATTAGCTGTATAATATAAATAATATTACAGCTGGACAAAGTTCCCCGAAACTGATGATTGCCTTTTCCAATAAGACCATAAGCAAATTTAGAGATAAACAGTAAGAAAATTGGTGAAAACAGAAAATGAATTATTTTACTATGAAATAATTACAACCTCAAAATGGTATAAGGACATAAAGGATTATTTACTATCTTGGACCCGTTAACCACTTGATAATGTTATGTACAAACGTAAAGCCAGTATCAAGTACATGTACTCGTATATGTAACATGTATGCCATTATTGCTGTACTCATTAACCCGTTCGTTCCTGAAGTTACTGTACTGTGCTACATACCCCCCCCCCCCACACACACACACAACTACTAGTAAATCAGAAAGACAACACTGTTATGTGTTTACGAGAAAAACTAATGCATTTAATTGGATTGTAAATTTGCCCAAGTTAATATGAAGAAGATTAATATTTAATTCGTAAGAACAGTTAAGAATACACATATTTTGGATATATATCACACAAGAAGCATGCTCTGGGGCAAAAACATCAGTATAACCATAAAACTGATCACAGATTCGACCTATTAGAATATAAGCCCCGCCTACGAACAACCTAATAACCTACTGCAAAGAGGAAAACGTATATCCGTGGCGAGCATGTTGAAGTTAAAATAAACAAAATCCTTGAATAAATTAATCACTGGATATATCCGAACATGCTGGTTAATTTTATTGAATTTGAAATTTATTTTACAATTCAAAATTAATCAATACCGTGTTATGGTTGACACATATATCATTATTAGACTGTGGAGCAAGGACGTGGCTCAACTGAATTCGAAATGGCATTGTAACACCGCAATTTGGGGTCAAACGCACTTTGGGGTCCTACCCCAAAATGCGGTAAACTTCACAGCGCACTTTGGGGTCAAACGCACTTTGGGGTCAAAATCGAGAAATTGACCCCAAAGTGCGTTAATATGCTACATATCAACGCACATATGGGTTCCAGATTTCTTAAGTTGCCATCTGAGTTCTGCTTAAATACCGAGTACTGACTTATATTGAAATATTTGAGGTAGCAAAAACATCAGTATAACCATAAAACTGATCACAGATTCGACCTATTAGAATATAAGCCCCGCCTACGAACAACCTAATAACCTACTGCAAAGAGGAAAACGTATATCCGTGGCGAGCGTGTTGAAGTTAAAATAAACAAAATCCTTGAATAAATTAATCACTGGATATATCCGAACATGCTGGTTAATTTTATTGAATTTGAAATTCATTTTACACTTCAAAATTAATCAATACCATGTTATGGTTGACAAATATACCATCATTAGACTGTGGAGCAAGAACGTGACTCAATTGAATTTGAAATGGCATTGTAACACCGCACTTTGGGGTCAAACGCACTTTGGGGTCCGACCCCAAAATGCGGTAAACTTCACAGCGCACTTTGGGGTCAAAATCGAGAAACTGACCTCAATGTGCGTTAATATGCTACATATCAACGCACTATGGGTTCCAGATTTCTTAAGTTGCCATCTGAGTTCTGCTTAAATACCGAGTACTGACTTATTGAAATATTTGAGGTGGAGTTCAAGATGACTATCGATACCCATATACATCACTGTGCAATTTTCCTAATTGCCATTTAAATTCTGATTTAGCAGTAATTGAAAAAGATGCGTTTGATACCTAATGTTTTATTAATTTAACCACTTGTAATATCAAAAAAGAAAAGAAAACAAGTTTAACACATATAATATATATGGTGGCCGGTTGTGGCCATTTTAAGCCAGCGATAATTAGCTTTATCATAAAATGTTGCGGCAACTTAAAAACTCGCGAGGTTTCTGTCAAAATCGTACAAAATGTCGCGGTGAATGTATAAACCTACATATTTTGGTTCATACAGCATTTATTTTAGTTCGATTGTGTAGGAAGCTATAAGCTTATAAACACACTTTCGAATCCGTTCCTGGAACCAACCAGTACTGAGCAATGAGTGTAAAGTTTCTTGCTCAAGGAAACAACGACTTGCCCCTGACGGGGTTTGAACCCTTACGGCTAGCGATCATTAGACTACTAGTCCGACGCTTTAACCACTCGGCAATGCCGCCACTTCATATTTTAAAACAGTTGTTGGAAACAGCAAGGAACATTTTGGTATTTTAAACTGGCGAGTAAGTGTCAAGGACACTACCGGCCATCATAATTGTTCTTAAATTGTACATGTACTCTTAGAAATAAAAGATGTTTAAAAAAATCCTGTTCTGTCAGCCATTTACTTGATAACTTTTGGTGCCATATTGAAACCAATTTTCACTTTGACGTGGATTTTATGAAATGCAATTGATATCATCTCAGTACATTTCATCTTCTGTAAATGACTTTTTACAGGTAAGTTAGAAATACAATTTATAATAACAAAGTTGAGCCCTTTTCACAATTTTAGATATTCCTAAATATTTGTGCCACATGATATCGCTAATGAAAAGATATACAATGTCGAAAATTCATTAAAACTTTAGAAAAAAGACCGTGATAACTATCAGTTGATGCATTACAGTAAATTTTGGTTTGAATTTTGTAAACCCTAATAATTTTTACGTAACCAATCATGTTATTTTATGAAGTAACTGCAGCTATAAGTAAACTTTTTTTCTTATATATACTTGTATATGTCCGCAACGACTTATTTTTAATTTGTGGCCAGTTTGGATGCCGTCCTGAGACTAAAAAAACTGATAGGAGTAGAATTTAATGTAACATAAATTTACAGCCAAGAGACAGTTTATACTCGGAATCAATAATCAAAGGGCTGCAACCTCTGTGGTATTTTCTGATCTTTGCAATCTAAATCATACTGACTATCTGTATGTATTTTCCTATATAAGTTTATTTTTATATACTATAATTAATCTTACGCAGCGACTGCGTCTATAACAGTTTGAGATTGATACATATGGAATTTTGCATGACTAGAGTTGCATCAAAAATCATTTTCATTTTTTATGACAGCCATACTTTATCCTTGCATATCGTGGCTACTTCCTTAAAAAAGACACTTCAAAAAAAAAAAGTTGCCTCGACTAGGTTTTGAACCTAAACGAGCGCGCTACCTCTGCACCACGGTGAAGTAATACATATGTAGCTTGAATAATAACAAATAGATTGTAATTCTAAATTGGGAATTTCCATTCCGTGTTTGTAATCCTTACTAATTTCGAGGTATTTCTTCACTATAAACCTGTTGTTTAACACTGATGTAAATAATTTAGCGAAAATCTTCTCGCCAAAACAGTACGACATGTATATATTCCACTACTCGACAGTCAGATTTATTTGTGTACTACGCTCTGGAGTATTCGGTAATCGACATAGCTAAAAATAGCATTTTCATTGATTAAGCTTTACGGAAATAGCCGAACATTTTTCATTGGGTAAAAAAGATATTCATCCGCGAAATTTGTGATTGTAACCTCATATTTCTATTGACTACTCTAAACTTTTAATGCACTGTAATTCGTTAAATGCATACATTAAAAATTATTCTTTATTTTAAATTGCTGGTTTTTAAGCAGTTCTGAGTGAGAACTACTTTGCGTTGTTAGGTCTGTTAGGAAAATTTGTGTTAGACCGTGGATGTTAGCTATGTATTTACTGATCTTGCGATCAGAAAATACAAAATCTTGCAGGTTATTTAGGTAACATTTCAGGTTTTGCAAAAGGTATGAGTTTTATGTGCAACCAAAACTGCTGCCATTTTGAATGAGACGAGATGACTTTCTTACTTTTCGAAAATTACTATATACGTGTTTTGAAAATAATTTCTGCCATAATCTGACATGTATTTCATCTAAATATACACTTATGATTTTGTTGAGTATAATGTATTCTTTCAATATGGCATCTATCTTGGAATCCATCTTAAATGTTTCATTTTGCCCCAAGTTGTGGCAGATTGACACAGCTTGAATTATTTTTTTCAGTTTACAGCATTCAACATTGAAAAAAACGTTACCTCCCTTTAATAATATACCAAGAAAATCGATATCAACAGATCCTATCGTATAAGGAACTGGTTTTTAATAAGATGGAAATATGTGTGACAATTGTCAACACATGACGCTAGTTCATGGGTAAGCCTTAAATATTATACAAATATGGACTTTTTAGCTGTTGAATATGATGTGATATGTACTGAAAAAATTAATATTGACCGAGGTGATAGCCGAGGTCAATATTAATTTTTCAGTACATATCACATCATATTCAACAGCTAAAAAGTCCATATCTGTTTTATTATATAATTTATAAATAGCTTTTATATGGCTTATCACATTATTTTTCAGCTTGTCTACTGTTTCCATAATTTGGTCATTTTCCATTTGCATGCTTATCCCTATTGTTCTTAAAAATGTAAAATGATAACTAAAATAGACTAATTTGACTCTTATGTACACCCCACTCAATGTTTTTTTCCAGAACAATAACAACAAACTTGGCGTGACATCACGTCAAAGTCTCGCGTCTTTTAGGGATTTCCAGAAAATCTATTTTTAGAAGAAAAACCGGTGAATATAATCTGAAAATCTATTTTTAGGAAAAAAAACAGTGAATATACTCTGATATTGACCTGTTATTTTTTACAAAAAGTTGCTTGTTAGCCAATCAGGGAAAGGCATTTCAAAGCTATTTATAGATTATATAATAAAATATGTTATCTAATGTATTGTTACACACAATACACATCAAAAATATCTATAATTTAAGGTCACTATCCTATGAGAGAAATAATAATAATTGAAAATCTCGTCATTATATTGAATTGCAAATTGCAACATTTTGATATAACAAATTTAAATAACCTATCGTCTGCTATTGTGAATACTTATTTAGTTTACACTTGGCATTAACTATAAGATATTATTCTAAAATATCACTAAAATGCATTCATATTGACCCCAATGTGCGGTCGTTTGCCTGATGTTAAATAATGCATATGTACCTGTGTAACGCACTTTGGGGTCAAACTTTAACACCAAAGTGCGTAACGCACTTTGGGGTTGAACCCCAAAGTACGTTACGTACTTTGGGGTCGAACCCCAAAGTGCGGTGTTACAAGGCATATTGTAGTAGTGTAAGTTGTGCCAATGAAGGATGAAAAGACGCATTTCTAGCTAAACTGCATAGAAACCAAATAGTTCCGCCAAGATGCTCAAACTATTAACGATAATAGTTAATAGCTAAACATGTATTTGGCATTTTTAAGGAAGGTAGGTAACTAACAGTTATGAGATATAAAATGTAGAACACAAGACATGTACAACTAATAGGAATCCGAGGCTTAACTGCACAACACATTTTATGTAAATGACACGATGAAAGATAAGCTTTTGATATTGCACATTATATATTTGATGAATGTTTTTTGAGCTCAAAGACTTCATCACCTATATATGCGACTAACGAGAAACTACACCATTTGAATTCAGCACACAAATAAATAAATACATGTAATTAAACTAACAAAATATTTCTTATGTACGATATTAATCATTTATCTGATTAAAGCTTATGCATCAGCGGCTTGTCCTATATGCAATTTCTGATTCTTGCTTTCTGTAACAAACTTGTAACACTTGTTCGTATTCTAAGAGTTGTCCGTTGGGTTGAAACAGATGCTGACGAATTATTCAAGATGCAGCGTGACGCATCTTTGGTTAGAGGCACTTGGTGGCAGACTATGACGTAGCTTAGAGGCACTTGGTGGCAGACTATGACGTAGCTTAGAGGCACTTGGTGGCAGACTATGACGTAGCTTAGAGGCACTTGGTGGCAGGCTATGACGTAGCTTAGAGGCACTTGGTGGCAGACTATGACGTAGCTTAGAGGCACTTGGTGGCAGACTATGACGTAGCTTAGAGGCACTTGGTGGCAGACTATAACGTAGCTTAGAGGCACTTGGTGGCAGACTATGACGTAGCTTAGAGGCACTTGGTGGCAGGCTATGACGTAGCTTAGAGGCACTTGGTGGCAGACTATGACGTAGCTTAGAGGCACTTGGTGGCAGGCTATGACGTAGCTTAGAGGCACTTGGTGGCAGGCTATGACGTAGCTTAGAGGCACTTGGTGGCAGACTATGACGTAGCTTAGAGGCACTTGGTGGCAGGCTATGACGTAGCTTAGAGGCACTTGATGGCAGGCTATGACGTAGCTTAGAGGCACTTGGTGGCAGACTATGACGTAGCTTAAAGGCACTTGGTGGCAGACTATGACGTAGCTTAGAGGCACTTGATGGCAGACTATGACGTAGCTTAGAGGCACTTGGTGGCAGACTATGACGTAGCTTAGAGGCACTTGGTGGCAGACAATGACGTAGCTTAGAGGCACTTGGTGGCAGACTATAACGTAGCTTTGAGGCACTTGGTGGCAGACTATGACGTAGCTTAGAGGCACTTGGTGGCAGACTATGACGTAGCTTAGAGGCACTTGGTGGCAGGCTATGACGTAGCTTAGAGGCACTTGGTGGCAGACTATGACGTAGCTTAGAGGCACTTGGTGGCAGGCTATGACGTAGCTTAGAGGCACTTGGTGGCAGACTATGACGTAGCTTAGAGGCACTTGGTGGCAGACTATGACGTAGCTTAGAGGCACTTGGTGGCAGACTATGACGTAGCTTAGAGGCACTTGGTGGCAGACTATGACGTAGCTTAGAGGCACTTGGTGGCAGACTATAACGTAGCATGACAACATTTGGAACCTGAAAATATACATTGAAACAAGATGACAGAAAAACTTCGGAAAATATGTAAAAGGAGTTTTGGGAGGGATTTTATCAACAAGTTTGCCATTTAAATCGGCTGCTAGCAAGAAACTGAACTGGATGACCAACCAACAAACCAACCGTTCGGAAAAAAACAGGCACAGACAAAAGTTGTAAGGAATATGACTAGTATCGTCATCGACCCCCATCATCAAAATAACGCGACTTTATCTTCATATAAAATCATAAATTCATATTTACTGATTATTTTTGATTGAAAAATAACTGAAGCTGCATTTTCATTAACTTGTTCCAAAAGCAAAATATAATAAGCTTTTTAGAGTAAATAACGAAAATAATGCAGCACGGAATTACAGAAAGGTGTTACAAAAACTTTAAGGTCAATTCTAAGTCGAAAAAGGGGCATAATTCTGTCAGTTACCTCCTCCTGTCTACAGGTTGGTGTCATGATGGTGAAGAAGTGTGAAAGTTTCAAAGCCATATGTCAATAGACTTTTCAAATATTTGAGGTATTACAAAAACTTTAACATAAGTGCATCTTGGCTATTATTCATAATAACGGATTGTAAGTGGTTCTACTACAAAGATTTACAGAGAGTGTATTCTTTGATATTGTATATATTTGACATCCAAAGGAAAATAAAGTGTATTTAGTTAAAATTATGGTTGAAAATAATTATGTCTGAATATCATAATCAATTTAAAATACTCAATATGTACTACTAGAAATAAAATCGGGGTAAATATTTTGTACTTTCTCGGGTTTTGCAACCATAATGATAAGTATGAATAATGTAATGTTTACTTTTATATCTATAAATTTACTTAATTTAGATGGACTTTCACTCGATATATTGGAATAAACATAGTCAACAACTTCGAGTTTACTATTTACTCGTATTTACATATTTTTAGTAAAGATTAAACCGAACAATCGTATCCGTTCTGTGCATTCTGTTGTGTTCGAGGTCCTTGCAGATACTATTGCCAATTTTGTTTCATAAAGAGCTAAACAGTGAAGTAAATCGAAGATAAAAAAGAAATAGGGTCAAAACTTTTGTTTCTGTCCATATATATCCAGACATTTCGTGTAAGATCGCATTCCCACATCGTCATAAGATGTAACAATTATTTTTTTTAAAGATTTGCATAATGAACATTTACCGTTACAACTGTCTTAAATGGTCTTGCAAAAATGGGGAGGCAAAACGAAAAAGACAAAAAAAGCAAGCAAATAAATAAATAAATAAATGAATAAAAATAAACAAATAAATAAATAAATAAATAAATAAATAAACAACAACGACAACAACAAAACAAAACAACTCGAAAAACAACAACAAAACAATTTTAAATGAAAGTGACCTGAAGTATTTTGTTCTTTAATTAAAAGTTTAATACTCTCTTAGAAAAAAAGCGTCCGTTTGCAATTGGTTATCATATGGATTTGTTTTACACTATAACATTATTATAATGTTTTCATTTATGCTTTAAAACATTAAATGACTTTGTTAAAATACTTATATATTATATAATGTTTTCATTTATGTTTACTTTATATATCAGGAATTACGTGTTCAATACTTTATATTAAGTTGCTTATTCACTTACAAACAAAAGAACTTGTTCTGATCGGGTCTATACGGTCTTTAAAATCCAGCGTATTGCGTTTGCAAGAATAAATTGAAATCTGTTGAAACCCATATCCAAATAGTCCTGGTTTATGTCATGTAAACAGAAGCATAGTATAAATCTCTTTCCTGAATTTCAATATTAAAATGTGTAGGCATATTTACTATGATATCCCTCCACCAAAAGTAGTCGATTAATTAAAACAATACTTTAGAAAAGTAATCATACAATGGTTATAACAGTCTATTTTGTTTCGTTTGCTTTGCTCTGTAGTCAAACAACTTAACATTGTCAAACAGAAATCCGAAGGTCCCTTCAGTTTGTTTTCTTTAAACTCAAATTTTAGTACATCTGTTTGAATATTCACCCGACGTCCGTAGTGGAATGTAAGATCCAAGTAATATGTAATGTCCAAATGATGTGTAATGTATTTACCTATGTTAATACAAGATTCAAATCTTAATATGTGCATACGCTTGTCTTGTAATGCATCACACATTTACATAAAGGAATCGGACACTAGCTGGGACAAAAAGACATTGACATGCCTGCGCGAACGATAATAGTGACAAAAATGACATTGACTTGCTTATAAAAACGCTAGTTGTGAAAATAATGACATTGACTTGCCCATATAAACGCTATTTGTGATAATCATGACATTGACTTGCCAAAATTAACGTTATTTGTGAAAATAATGACATTGACTTGCCCATATAAACGCTATTTGTGAAAACAATGACATTGACTTGCCCACATTAACGCTATTTGTGAAAATAATGACATTGACTTGCCCACATTAACGTTATTTGTGAAAATAATGACATTAACTTTTGCCCACATTAACGTATTTGTGAAAATAATGACATTGACTTGCCCACATAAACGCTATTTTGTGAAATAATGACATTGACTTTGCCCATATTAACGCTATTTGTGAAAATAATGACATTGACTTACCCACATAAACGCTATTTGTGAAAATAATGACATTGACTTGCCCACATTAACGCTATTTGTGATAATAATGACATTGACTTGCCCATGTTAACGCTATTTGTGAAAATAATGACATTGACTTGCCCACATTAACGCTATTTGTGAAAATAATGACATTGACTTGCCCACATTAACGCTATTTGTGATAATAATGACATTGACTTGCCCATGTTAACGCTATTTGTGAAAATAATGACATTGACTTGCCCACATTAACGTTATTTGTGAAAATAATGACATTGACTTGTGTGTTTTAAGTCAACAGTATAAGGCTGGGACCGCACATTTATTTTTGAAAAAGTCGGCTTGAAACAACTAATGACTTTTCCACACTATATAAAATACAAGGGTTAAAACATATTATAAATTTAAATATATACATTAAGGCCTGTTTAAACATTATCTGTAAAGGGATTAGCACTGGACTAAACAAATATCTTTTTTTAATTCTTTTATTGTTAGGTCTGCCTTGCGGGCTTTCATTGTTAAATATCATTTTACGGTCCGGTGACACTTTTATTAATATAAGTTTGGACAAGTCAAACAAATAGGTTCGTCCTGTTCTCTAATGGGCATTTAAATCGAATTTCTACTACTGTGGACTCTAAAAATAACTGCATATAAATACAAAATGAAGGACGCGATTGTAAGATGGATACAAATATTGGTTGTATTTATTGTGTTTATGTTTATATTACAAACATACATTGTAAACAAACTTTATAGGAAAAATTTGATGATTGCTATGATTCAAACGAACTCTTCAATAGATAAAATAACAATGTTGATGAGATCTAATACTTCTGGTGATGAGATAGAAATCATCATGAAAAATAAGTCTGTACTAGATGCAAAAGTTCTGACGCACACGAGAATGAGAAACCAAACTGAGTCTAATGTGAAAGAATCTATATTGCCACGAAAGGAAACTATTGTGCGAAAAGGCTCTTCATTGACGAACAAGGGAAACGTGACTCAAATGGACAATAATCAGACTGTGACGTCCAAAAGATATAATACCCGGAAAAACATTACGATGACATTTAATGGAACAACAGTTCGAAAGCCTATTTGTTCTCGTAGTATCAGTAAACAACCAGGTAAAAAATGTTTTCATTATTTGAACACTGACATATTGTATATTTAAAGGAATTGTCCTTTTGTTGAATGTAACAGGCCACCGAATCAGGTGCGAGATCACTTGTACTATTTCTGCTATACAAACACATTGCTGACACATGTTTTCTTTATTTTATTTGAAACATATTGTTTGATTTGATTATTTAAATATTTACAAAATAATATACGTCCAGGGTTGGGTATATATATTTATTTCTGTGGCAAGGTAGGTATTAATAAAATTAGCAGTCTGTCTGTGTTTTGAAAACTTTAGGCCACTCATGAACAATTCTTTTTTTGGACAGAGAACAATATGAATTGACTTTGAGCTTTATAAATTTCATTGTGTTTTCTTATTTTCCATTATTTCGGAATGGCAAAAGAGTTTAATATATTATAGATTAGTTTGCAGTTATTACAGAATGCATACGTCATCGTTGTTTATTTAAACTTTTCTTTTTTGCAAGGCCGAATCAGATTAACACTTACACCAGAAAAGAACCACATTAAAGAAGACACTGATTGGCTCAAAAATGAATTATCAAAAGGAGGCATATATCAGCCACCAAGTTGTAAATCTAAAGAGAGAGTCGCAATTATTATACCATTCCGTGATAGAGAAGAACATCTTAAAATATTCCTACGCCATATGCACCCCTTTTTACAACGACAGAAGCTCGAGTATGGAATTTATGTTATTGAATTGGTCAGTACCATATCAGTCACTTATGTTTTAGAAAATGAATTATACTTAAAATGTTTAATTAAACTTAATAATGTGATTCTTATATACCAAATATTTTAAAAACAAGTTATGACATCACACACCGGAAATGTGTTTTAAATGCGCATGCTCGATCAGTTTCAAATTTTTGTCATTTTGTTTTTACACGTAATTTTCAGATTTCAGAATCTTATCTAGTATTTGCATAATTCTAACCTATTTACAAATAAAATATTAACACAAATACTTTATTTGATTTAAGAATGCTTTTGTTCTGTTTTACTTTCAGGACAAAAATATAACATTTAATCGAGCGATACTTATGAACATTGGATTTGTAGAAGCGATGAAACTTCACAGTTATACATGTTTTGTGTTTCACGATGTCGATCTTTTGCCGGAAGATGATAGAATTCCGTATTCTTGCGCAGACAACCCACAACATCTCTCTGTTGCCGTGGATACGCTCAACTACACGTGCGTAGATAATCTACAATGTATATGTGACTAATTTTTAATATATCAAAAAAAAGAAAAAGTTTCAGATTAAAAAGTCGCGCAAGTATATCTAATACAAAATATACAGTATACTGTATTAGAAACTTCGTCTGCGTATGTCTTTTACCTTCCATCATTATCTTGAGACTTTTTTTTAATTCCTTGGCTGTCTCATAGACAAACAAATGTAAATTGTAAGCTTAGACTGGTACAAAAGAATACTTTTTTAAAAGTACAAAAACACGTTTTGCAGAGCCGAAATTTATGATTGAGTAACGATAGATGCATAATTTCTTTGAGTTCATAAAATATTTTAATGATATTTTTATTTTTAGATTACCGACAGTAAAACAGTTTGGTGGAGTAAGCGCTGTACGAACGGAGCAGTTTCTTAAAGTAAATGGCATGTCTAACATGTTCTTTGGTTGGGGCGGAGAAGATGATGATCTCAGTGAAAGGTTTGTGTCGTCTGCTAAATAAACGTCTGCTTGTAACGATTGTTTCTATCGTCTGCTTATTACTTAATCGCCCTTTGATACAACTTCTACTCCTTTTGAACACTACATGGTCTTTTTTGTGTGACTGTTTCCCGTTTTCATACCTTATGTAAATAATACATCTTATTATTATACATGTACACATATCCGTGCATTATACATGTATCATGTGCTCTCAGTCATATATAAGAGGGTTTATGCCTCTCTTTTCTTACATTATTAACGTCTGCAGAAGCACAAAGGCGGGAGATTGAAAAAAAGTTTCTTGAGAGCTATTGTTTTTTGTTTTTTGTTTTTTTTTTGAAAGTATATGTCTGATTCGAAAATCGCGCATTTTCAAAAATATGCAACAACAGCGTGCTGGCGTAAATTCATGTAATTAGTTAGCATTGTTTCCCACAAACCTGTCGATCAAAGTGCATTTTCAGTCTTCTTTTTTAGCCCTTTCTGAACTTTAAAACGTTCATTCTTTCCGAATGAAGAGACACTCTTGTTTGTTTGTTTGCATTTTGTATTTCTTATATAGTTCCCTTTTTTTTCTAAGTCTATTCCTCAGGCTGTCATCTTTTCTCTTGTTTGTGCGTCATTACTATTTTGGTTTGAATTATAAATTCGACTCACTTGATTTACGGACGATTCCGAACATGAACGATCAACGTTGATTATGATTTGATAAATAATAAAAACTGATATCAACTCGTCAATAACCATAAAAGTATTAATATAATATGTCTATATTTTGATTTATGTTTATTTTGAGGACTGAATTTTGTCACTTTTTCCACTTTTAATGAATTTCCTGACACATTTCAGAGTGAGAACAAGCAAATACAATATTTCACGACCCTCGGGGGATATTGCCAGGTACACAATGATTGGTCATGTTAAAGACCATGACAGAAACCCATTTAGGTAATTTTGAATAGTTCATTTGTTTGTTTTTCCTCTTTCTCATGTGCTTCTTCAACCGGATGGATTCTTTACCGGTTTCTTTCTGAAAAATTGACTAGTGCAGAAGACTGTAAAGTATACACCAGTAGTTTTAGGTACACGTGCGTGTAATGAATGACTATGTATGATAAAACTATGCTTTTCACATGTTGAAACCATTGATTACATGAAGAAAATATCTCAATATGTCATCTTTAAATGCAAAATCAAATACATTTATATCTTAAAGTACTGAATATAGAGACAACCATTGCTTAGTGATAACATGATCGAATAGGACTTATTCTTAGTGTATGGTTTGTTTGAGTAAGGTCCGTGGTAGTCTCAACATGTTACTGCCGCAGTAACCTCCCCTATTCAACATGTTACTGCAGTAGTAACCTCCCCTTTCAACATGTTACTGCAATAGTAACCTCCCCTCTTAACATGTTACTGCAATAGTAACATTCCTTCTCAACATGTTACTGCAGTAGTAAGTTCCCCTCTGAACATGTTACTGCAGAAGTAACCTCCTGTAATGTTCTGTTTACAGTACAATAATTATGAAGACATTTTGCAGATTATCCGAATCACTCCCAGTTCTACTTTAAAGAAATAAACTGGTAGAGTGTTCATGTCAGGGAACAAAAGTGATTCAAATAGGGTTTGAACCGTTGACCCGTAGGTTGGGAGGCTGGTACATTAACCACCAGCGCACTGCTTCCAGCTTGGTGGTGTTTACGATATAAAATACAAAATTAAGGTATGAATAATACAGCTATTGATCTATTGTTTATTTATTTTATTCTTGTAAAATTTGCAAAATCACTTAACTCACGCCTTGATGTACACACATCTAGGGACATCTGATATATTATATTTTTATATTCTTTGCAGGCGGTGTTTGTTGAAATCAGTAAAAGAACGAATGGATAAGGACGGACTTGTGAACTTAAAATATGACCTTGTGAAGCTCGAACTTAGACCACTGTATACGTGGATGCTAGTGCGTGTAAACAAAGTGCAACAACTGAGATCTGATAGTTACTTGTTTCAATTCTATAAAGACTGCGTAAAAGAAGTTCAGAACAACAGTGCTTTTTTACGTCAACTTGTACTTCCATTAGTGATAGTTAGTCTTTTGTGCTATATTGTTTCAAAATCGTGATGCAAAGCTTTGGAAAGTTTTACATTTACTTTGACAGAACTTCATTTATACATATGCACTCAGCAATACATATGTATAATCAACCCTAGTCATCATTATATTATCGTTATTTTGCTTTAGTGTTTGTTGACATTACCTTATGCTGTGTCTGTAAAACTTTCAACTGTTGACGCATGCATACAAAAAAAAAGAAAAGAAAAAGAAACAATAGTGATAATGAAAAAAAAAAGTTCCTAGGTGTCTTATTTTCATAATTGTTTCCCTTGCGTGTCCTTTTTAAGCAGAGTAAGCAAATAATTGATGTAAAAAAGTTGACTTAATCTGAAATTTTAATCATTTAAGTATCTAATAGTTTTAACAAATTTATTTCTTTTAGTTTATTTATTTTATAATAATAACATTGATGGCTAGATAAAGAAGTTTAAAATCACACGATGCATCAGAAATGGATAATTTTCATTTCTATAGAAAGAGCAAACATGTATTTTATTATGTTATAATAATGTTTGTAGAATGTTTAAGATGCTTGTCACCTTAAAGGGATATTCAGGCAAAATAATGACAAAATATTAAAATGATATTATGTACTCAAATCACGCTAAAATGACATTTCTTGAAGTTTCAGCACGAATTTCTGTTTAAATTCTATCTATTTTGGGTTTCAGGCCTAAATATCTCTATATACAATGTAGGTTAAACAAAATTAAGACGCGAATAGAATCACCAAATAATTTTAAAACAAGTCACATGACTTGAACAAACCCTTGAAGTTACAATAACAGATATTATGGATATTGTATGATTGAAACAAGTCTAAGTCATTCATTTGACGTGTTCTTTAATGTTTCCAGAGTTCCCTTTGACAACTTTTGTGAAATCCTAGCGCTCTAACCTGACCCACGCGGGTCAAGTTAGGAAACCACCATTTTATTCTTTATATAGAGAAAAGTTTTGTTCCTTTGACTGTCTAATATATTGTTTTTGAGGGCAATTACAGAATAATGAATAAAAAAATCAAAACGAAGAAATGACAATTTTGCCTGTGTCTCCCTTTAAGGAAATAGGTTGAATGTGAAAGAATGTACGAAAGGTAAAAAAATGAAACAAGAGGGCCAAGATGGCCCTAGATCGCTCACCTGACCCATCGAACTCATCCGAACAATTACCTAGACATGCATTCTGACCAAGTTTCATGACAGGTGAGTCAACAATGTGACCAATAGAGTGTTAACATGGATTATCCATATTTGATCAATGTGACCTAGTTTTTGACCCCAGATGATCCATATTCGAACTTGACCTAGAAATCAGCAAAACAAAAATTCAGACCAATTTTCAGAATATTTGGATCAAAACAGTAGCCTCTAGAGTGTTAATAAGATTTTTCTATTTTTAGCTCCTGTGACCTAGTTTTTCATCCCAGATGACCAATGTTCGAACTCATCTGAGCAATTACCTAGACAAGCATCCTTACCAAGTTTGATGATAATTGAGTAAAAAAAATGACCACTAGAGTGTTAACAAGGTTTTTCCATATTTGGGCGGTGTGACCTAGTTTTTGACCCCAGGTGACCCATATTTGAACTTGACCTAGAAATCATCAAAACAAACTTTCAGACCAATTTCCAGGATATTTAGATCAAAACAGGAGCCACTAGAGTGTTAACAAGATTTTTCTATTTTTAGCTCATGTGACCTTGTTTTTAATCCGAGATGACCCATGTTCGAATCATCCCAGCAATTACCTAGACAAGCATCCTGACCAAGTTTGATGACAATTGAGTCACAAATGTGACCACGAGAGTGTTAACAAGGTTTTCCTATTTTTAGCTCCTGTGACCTAGTTTTTCATTCGAGATGACCCATGTTCGAACCTATCCGAGCAATTACCTAGACAAGCATCCTGACCAAGTTTGATGATGATTGCGTCAAAAATGTGACCGCTAGAGTGTAAACATGTAAACAAGGTTTTTCTATTTTTAGCTCCTGTGACTTAGTTTTTCATCCGAGATGACCCATGTTCGAACTCATCCGAGCTATTAAATAGATAAGTATCCTGACAAAGTTTGATGATGATTGGGACAAAAAGGTGACCGCTAGAGTGTAAACAAGGTTTTTCTATTTTTAGCTCCTGTGACCTAGTTTTTCATTCGAGATGACCCATGTTCGAACTTATCCGAGCTTTTACCTAGACAAGCATCCTGACAAAGTTTGATGATGATTGACGTAAAAAATGTGACCGCTAGAGTGTAAACAAGGTTTTTCTTTTTTTAGCTCCTGTTTCATCCGAGATGACCCATGTTCGAACTCATCCGAGCTATTAAATAGATAAGCACTTGACAAAATTTGATGATGATTGAGACAAAAAGGTGACCGCTAGAGTGTTAACGAACAAGTGTGGACGGACGACAGACGACGGACGACGGACATTCAACGATCTTAAAAGCTCACCCTGAGCTAGCTCAGTTGAACTAAAAAGTGGTGTTTTACTGCCATTTAAATTAATAAATCACTGTAACTGTATAAATTGCCGGAACGCAAAAAAGCACAAAATGACTCAGCTTTATAGACAATAAGTAACTTTTTGGAAACTGAAACAGATTGAAGTCCCTCTTACAAGTCTTGAAGTTAGCGATGGGGAAAATCAGATTGTAAAACTCTCGCTAAATGTCCCTGCAATATAAGTTGGAAGACAAAGTGAACATGGCGCCAAGACAAAGCCACTGCAATGACCTTAAAGTTCAGTGTAGTTACTCTACACAGTCTTCGAGGTATATACTGTCATAGAAATAGGAAGTATGCAACACAACAGTTAGTTGTGTCTCAACCCTATCAAAAGATCGTGTTTTAGCAATATTTGCACTGAAAGTATTGTCTATACTATACCGCTTCTGAACAGCTCAAGATACTAGTAGTTTTTTTCCATCGGACTTTCATCAAGATGATATCATTTTCCTCCCCTTTTGGTTAGCAATATTCTTTCTGCACATAATTGATAAAATGATAAAAGCCGTCATTTAAATGTTCGACTCTCCATATGAAATTTAATGAGCTGCTTGAGTCTAAATTGAGTAAGTTTTAAAAGTATATTAAGCATTAAAAGACATTCCGCCATTTTAGAAATTTAAGCCATTTTCCTGAAAGTTTATACTAGACACCGATGAAGACAGTGAAACAATGGAAAGGTCTGGTCTTAGTCTGATCTTGTGCACCGCACAGGTAAAACACGGCCGCCGATCAGACACGTTTAACGTAGGTCTACCGCATGGACATTTCAATTAAGATTTACGAGGTGGCTTTTTTGTCGGAACACATACCACGCCAACTATGTTCGCGAATGAAGTGTAGCCGCATCGACCGATGATATTTTAAAAGATAAATAAGTCTGTGTGTAATAAAAGCGATTAGCGTTGTTCGTGTCAACAGTTAGCTCCCTTTCACCATTGGACATCCACCATTTTGTTAGACGGCAAAGGGGAAGCAAACATTGCTTTTAGCTAGTAGATATATGTATTTAATACTAAATTATTATGTTTATGTTTTAGTACAATTATACATGAAAAACTGAAAACGTTCAGAGACAATATTCCATGGTCATTATTGTGGGACGGATGTTTTCAATCCCTTTTAATCCATTATTTTCAGCTATTTATCATAGTACGAGTATAGTAAGTTTGAAATAATGTATTTCATGTCTATTTTTGCAAAGAAACTAGAAATGTATCCAGAAATTTTATATTAACTTACTTTCGTACTTATGCACATCTTTGAAGACAAGTCTATACAAAATAGCATAATTCCCAATTTATTGATCTGATAAGGAATTAGTATTGTAACTCTGATTTTAACCTTAAGACTACAAGCCATGGACAATGATCCATTGCATATTTATTCTATGGTTTGGCATTACTGAACTGAGACTCATTCATTTATGGAATCATTTTCGTTAGTTTCCGTTTTTTCCCGATTAAAATATTTACTTTTATGATAGTATTGTTATTTATTATCCATGCATTTCATAAAGCTATGTTCTCACCGCCGATCAGATCAACTCGATCGTCCCGATCACATTAATTCTCCGATGAAGCCCGACCAAGCTGGATTAAATGCAAATTCATGACTCCTACACTACCGCAAGTCGACCATGTTTACGAATTCTCTTCGACGACAACCCGACCAACATCCCGACTTCTTCTCGATCACACAGACCTATACGCGAGTCATACACGATCTCAACTAGACTAACTGGACCTCTGCTCGATCGTTGCCAGATTTCCACCGACCAGATCGGATAACGCTCGAGTAGAAGTCGAGATGATCGTGTACAGATCGGGTTAGAGATGTATACCCGACCAAACTAGATCGTTACACGATTTATTCTCGATTAACCAGATTTTATACTTGATCACTATGCGATCGCTTCGCGACATCTTATCTACTCGATCGCTACTCAAATTTTTTGACATGTCAAACTTAATAGGAAGCCCAAGCCATGCCGACCAAGGTAGACCGCTCCGACCACCCCCGATCACGCATGCAGACCGAGCTAGACCGGTACCCGATCGCTTGATCGTGCTTGATCTTGTTGATCTGATCGGCCGTGAGAACACAGCATAAGACTTGGTGCTCTTTTAGTAAAAGAAAAAGAGTTTTTTTTATGTTTTCACAAATATGAAGGTTCGAACCATTGATTGGGTAATTTTTTTATAATTAATATTTTTTTCTATTATTTTTCTTTGTCGTATAATGCGTCAGTTATATTCTTAAAATGCTTGATTACCCTTACGGTTTTATTAGTATTCTTTTGATTTTAAAGATGCATGCCTCCAGATGCTCCAAACTATTACAAGAAAAACTAATTTGAGAAAAATGTACTAAGATTTTAAGAAAATTAAAGATTCAAGCGATAATTGCAGTATTTATCTCCCTATTTGTACTGCGAGTAAACCTTCTAAAATATCCAACATCCTTTAAATTAAACCATGCATTTTTTGTAAATTACAAAACTTTGTGGTCAATTTCCTTTAAAGAGAAAAGAAATACTTAAGAAATAAAAAAGCTTTGTTTATTACACTGGATTCGAGTCCGTTCAGTTTCAAAATCTATCATCTTGACAATTATGCGTTTTTCTTGGGAAATAAATTTGATGACGATGGCGCGGCTGTACCTGATCTAATACAGCGTAAATGAAGCATGAAACCTTATACCATGTCCATACCATGTTACATAAATCACTAATTAAACATTTACAAGTCATTGATTGGAAAGAAATTTTTATATTGAAATTTACAGATAACTTTATGACCTCAAATCAACACTAGGGATCATTAACTAACCATGGAACTATCAGAGCTAAGTTATTAAACCGGTTTCACGACTTAATCTGAACGTACGAACCCCATTGCAGTATGCTTCACTTTTAAAGTTAGTACATAAAATAACAATTTGGATGATGATTCTGTCATTATTTTTAGAAAATCATTTTCTTCAAGGCAAAGGGTATTGAAAGTTAAAAAAGAAGGTAAAATATAGGATTTTAACATGATTTATTTTTCAAATAAAACATCAAAAGATACAATAAAATGTAACAAAGTAAACATGTATAAAAGCAATATGTATCAACACGGCTTTACCGTGTTATCAATATGTGTTTTAATGAAACAGGACAGAAGAAAAAACATTGAAACATATTTTTACCTGAGATAAGATTGCATAGTAAAATATTATTTTGATAAATCCTATTTCCATGGAAATACAGTGTTTGGTTCCGGCAGAGCATATTAATCATTGTCAGAAAAGACTTAAACATTGTTGCTCTTGATAGAAATACGCATTAATAAATCGTCCTTACAAACATATATATGTCTTAAAAAATACGCACAAACTTTAAACAAATTCTACAAAATAAAACAATAATTTAAAATTACTCGGAAATACTAAAAGCGCAGTAAAGAAACTTTATTCAACATATACTTATATATCCTTCTAGATAATTCTACAATTTTGAATTTTATTTTAATTTGTAATCGCTCTTCAATCTGTAGGATTAATATCCACACAGTGGTCTCCCTTCATTCTCCGGCTGATCAAGGGAAATAGCCCCTATAGAATATATATTTTACGTCTGGTGCCAGCGGGCATTGGCGCGTAAAATTGGTTCGCGTTCTCATTCATAAAAATACCATTACCGAAGAGGGAACGAATGTATATTCAATTTTTACATTTTAGACTTTGGTTCAAAATTCAATTTTCACTGTACATTGAATTGATCGGGACCATAAACAACATAAATGGCAAACACAAATGAGCCGCGTCACGACAAATCCAACATAGTGCGTTTGCGACCAGCATGGATCCAGACCAGCCTGCGCATCCGCGCAGTCTGATCAGGATCCATGCTGTTCGCTATCTGTTTCTCCACTTGTTTATAGGGTCTGTAAGCGAAAAGCATGGATCCTGATCAGACTGCGCGGATGCGCAGGCTGGTCTGGATCTATGCTGGTCGCAAACCCATTATGTTGGTTTTGTCGTGACGCGTTTCAAATAGCTTCGCTATGGGCGCGGAATAATGTATGTATACTCACTCATAAATCAATGTTTGAGACAAACTATTCGGATCAAACCGCCCATATACATGTATCTGGTGAACTTATACACATACTTATGCATGCATAGGGTAATATTCTATTGCAATGTTTACTCTACTCTCACAATCTTTTTTGCATGATAGATATCACTAAACGTACATAAAAAGTGATTATTTTTTCAGCACTTGAAAATATTTACATTGTTAGTGATTTCGTACTATATCATGTACTGCGCAGCATTAAACCAGAGTTTGTAGTTTTATCTAGTCTGACTCACCAGAATCTCTGTATATGACTAGACTGACTAGCCACAATGACAATAAAATCATTTCAAAAAAGATATGAACTAAATACAAATTCAAAACAAACTATATGTTCAACATTATTTCATTTACAATCTCTTATACTGGAGGTACAGGCTTCTTAAGATACAGAAATATGACACATTTTTGACTTAATTATTATATATTAATTTTACACATTCATGTTTTGATATTCTTATCAAATATGAGTATTATCATGTCAACGCTAAAATCATTTTTACTATCACATTTTTACCACTCTTTTTTAATCTACATTATTAACCACATAGATTTTTAACGTCGTTCATAATATTTCCATACTTACTGAGCGTATGACATTTGTCTTCATGAACATGATTACAATATTTGTTTTCTAAACCTTCTTTATGGCCTTCTTTTGATTATTTGCCTTTAAGACATTTGCTTTCTTTGCTTCTCCTTTCACACAATCGGTATAAAATTTGTACAAGAACTTGTCAGATTTTACAATCTCAGTTTCATTAACCCGGACTAATACCAGCGTGTACAGCGGCCGAAATTCGATTTTTATACGATCATATTTCAAGCTTGTAAGCCCGTCTTTGGTCATTCTTTGCTTGGACGAGTTCAGCAAACAGAACCTTGAAATAAATAAACAAAAAATGTAAAGGATTCATACTGTATTGTTATCTTATTTTAATCAGACTGATTAAGTCATAACTGCTATTTACTCATACGCTAGCTCGTGCCTGAAATAATTTCACGAGTTGGTACCTTAACTCTTCTTCCTCATCTATTAAAGCAGGAATTCGCTGTATAACCTCATGACTTAAAACCCAATATAACAAGCATTACTGCTATTAAATAAAATCAAAAGAATTATAGATGAAGAACTTCATTGTATAATAATTCGTCGTAGTTTAACTTGTTCAATAAATGCTTATTTTAAAAGAACTATTTCCCGATATATACAATGATTAAAAAAATTAGGACACGAATTTGGTATTTGAGGTTATTTTTTACCTTTGTGGGTTTTTGCTCGGATCTTTCACGTGACCGATCATTGTGTACCTCCCTATATCTATTGCAGGTCTTTGAATGACGTATCTTTGAGATCTAATCCTGAAATTAAAGTGTAATTATAAGAGAAACATGTGTAAGTGTAGAACAGGTTCAGAATTATCAGCATCGGGATAAAATTATCCCGGAGTTGTTTTTAAATTATTTCACGCAACTAACATTGAGAACATAAGGCAATTACATGGTATATATTCAAAATGTTTGAGATTCATCTACCTAACAGTTTGTATATCATCACCAATAACACAAATTCTTATAATAATTGGATATGAATAAGACTAAATTCAAAGATTAGGATCAAAAATCGGACACACATTTAAAAGCATATTCTTTAAAGGAGAAAGAAACGTTTTCCTTTGTTTTCGATGTTAATGTCATTTCAATGCTTCTTGTTAAACTAACATAAAATATTAAGACATCAAGTGTGGAAAAATACAAATTTTTATACTTAAAATACTTAAAATTTTGTGAACAATTGAGTAAACAAAACAGATGGCACACATAGAAGACAGGAACAGATGGCACATATAGAAGACACGAACACATGGCACACATAGATGGCACACATAGAAGACACGAACAGATGGCACATATAGAAGACACGAACAGATGGCACATATAGAAGACACGAACAGATGGCACACATAGAAGACACGAACAGATGGCACACATAGAAGACACGAACAGATGACACACATAGAAGACACGAACAGATGGCACACATAGAAGACACGAACAGATGGCACATATAGAAGACACGAACAGATGGCACATATAGAAGACACGAACAGATGACACACATAGAAGACACGAACAGATGACACACATAGAAGACACGAACAGATGACACACATAGAAGACACGAACAGATGGCACACATAGAAGACACGAACAGATGACACACATAGAAGACACGAACAGATGACACATATAGATGGCACACATAGAAGACACGAAACAGATGGCACATATAGAAGACACGAACAGATGGCACACATAGAAGACACGAACAGATGGCACATATAGAAGACACGAACAGATGGCACATATAGAAGACACGAACAGATGGCACACATAGAAGACACGAACAGATGGCACATATAGAAGACACGAACAGATGGCACATATAGAAGACACGAACAGATGACACACATAGATGGCACACATAGAAGACACGAACAGATGGCACATATAGAAGACACGAACAGATGGCACACATAGAAGACACGAACAGATGGCACATATAGAAGACACGAACAGATGACACACATAGAATACACGAACAGATGGCACACATAGAAGACACGAACAGATGGTACATATAGAAGACACAAACAGATGGTACACATAGAAGACACGAACAGATGGTACATATAGAAGACACGAACAGATGGCACACATAGAAGACACGAACAGATGGCACACATAGAAGACACGAACAGATGGCACATATAGAAGACACAAACAGATGACGCACATAGAAAACACGAACAGATGGCACACATAGAAGACACGAACAGATGGTACATATAGAAGACACGAAATGATGGCACACATAGAATACACGAACAGATGGCACACATAGAAGACACGAACAGATGGTACATATAGAAGACACGAACAGACGGCACACATAGAAGACACGAACAGATGGCACACATAGAAGACACGAACAGATGGCACATATAGAAGACACGAACAGATGGCACACATAGAAGACACGAACAGATGGCACATATAGAAGACACGAACAGATGGTACATATAGAAGACACGAACAGATGGCACACATAGAAGACACGAACAGATGGCACACATAGAAGACACGCACAGATGGCACACATAGAAGACACGAACAGATGGCACACATAGAAGACACGAACAGATGGCACATATAGAAGACACGAACAGATGGTACACATAGAAGACACGAACAGATGGCACACATAGAAGACACGAACAGATGGCACATATCGAAGACACGAACAAATGGCACATATAGAAGACACGAACAGATGGCACGTATAGAAGACACGGACAGATGGCACATATTGGAGACACGAACAGATGTCACACATATAATTCACGAACAGATGGCACATATAGAAGACACGAACAGATGGCACACATAGAATACACGAACAGATGGGCACACATAGAATACACGAACAAATGGCACACATAGGAGACACGAACAGATGGCACACATGGAATACACGAACAGATGGCACATATAGAAGACACGAACAGATGGCACGTATAGAAGACACGGAACAGATGGCAAACATGGAAGACACGAACAGATGGCACACATAGAAGACACGGACAGATGGCACACATAGAAGACACGAACAGATGGCACACATAGAAGACACGAACAGATGGCACATATAGAAGACACGAACAGATGGCACATATAGAAGACACGAACAGATGGCACATATAGAAGACACGAACAGATGGCACGTATAGAAGACACGGAACAGATGGCAAACATGGAAGACACGAACAGATGGCACACATAGAAGACACGAACAGATGGCACATATAGAAGACACGAACAGATGGCACATATAGAAGACACGAACAGATGGTACATATAGAAGACACGAACAGATGGCACATATAGAATACAGAAACTGGCAATACGGCATAGCAGACGACACAAACCTTTGGCTTAGATCATCATCTTCTCCACCCCACCCAAAGAAGATGTTAGACATTCCATTTATTTTACGATATTGTTCTGTTTTCAAAGCACTAACACCTCCAAAGTTGGTTGTCTTTGGCAATCTGAAATTATGATTACAAAGTTAACATATATTAATGATAAAGCATAACTAGGTGTAAATTACTGCATTTGAAAAAAATGTAATACAAAATTGACATAATCTGTTGTATTTTGCTCTAGGTCATTTGTTATATGGATTAATCTATTTAACATGCAAGCACACGATATTTTACTCTTTTTTAATCAGGTGTTACTTATAGTCACTGTAATCTTTATTGCGTAATTTACTACTTTCTGCAAAGGTGTTGTACCATTATTCTTTCTCAACCCTTCTGTATAGAGAACCACACCTGTTTCCAAAAATGATGTACTACTCAATATAGACAAGTAAGTGACAAGACATAAAGACCATGTGCTGATGCATCTTCCTTTAAGTGCAAGACCCTATCAGAAAACATATCAAAACACAGTTACATACGTCAAAATTATATCATTGAATTAATAGAAACTCATATTTATCGTCAACCAGGCTTATTTAATACGTACTTGTATTTCAATGTATCCACGGCAATTGACAGATGTTGTGGATTGTTTGCACAGGAATACGGAATTCCATTATCTTCCGGCAAAAGGTCGACATCGTGAAACACAAAACATGTATAACTGTGAAGTTTCATCGCTTCTACAAATCCAATGTTCATAAGTATTGCTCGATTAAATGTTATATTTTTGTCCTAAAATAGAACAAGACGTTTATTTATAAGAATAAATACAATACTAAAAGAACCATGTTAGTCAGTCTGCACAAAATGAAAATTCTAAATGAAAAATGTAGCACGTGTTAACATTGTTGCAAGGTGATAAATAAAATAAGACCGGAAATATACGTATTGCAACAAAAGATGCACCAAGTTTTTGTATTAATCGTCCAATTTATATAATTATGAAGGGTTTTCGCGTTGTTTTCCTAAGCTATTTGTTTTTATTGTTAATGTCATTGCAAAAATGATATAAAATGATTTAAATTTATACCGGTTACCAAATTAGACAGTCCGGGAATCAAGGCGTGGGATGTAGTAACGTGAACTGAGTATTCGTTGCCAGTTTTAAGTATTTTGATATTGAATTGATCATTCTACAGCCTACCAATCCTCTGTGTTCGAGTGGTTAAAGTCACTGATGTTAAACCACTTACACCATCACCGCTGTTGGTTCGAAATTTGCCAGGGATTTTTCATGAGAGCTAAGTCTTGCTATATTTTCTGAAATCATTTACGGCGGGGCACCTGAGGTCTTCCTCCATCAGTAAAACTGGAAACTCGCAATATGACCTTATACGTGTCAGTGTAGCGTGAAATCAAACATATTTATTAGTTTATTACTGCATCGCTTGTATGCGTTATCATAAATGTCACTTGATTCCTATTTGTGACGAATACATTTTTCATGTTTTCATTTTTACATTTTTCATGTTTTCATTTTAACATTTTTGAAAGGAATTTTCGCACATAATTATACTGACCAATTCAATAACATAAATTCCGTACTCAAGCTTCTGCCGTTGTAGAAAAGGGTGCATATGTCGTAGGAATATTTTAAGATGTTCTTCCCTGTCACGGAATGGTATAATAATGGCGACTCTGTTTTTAGATTTACAACTTGAGGGCTGATATATCCCTCCTTCACCAACAGTTTTTGATAATTCATTGTCAACAGAAACTATCTCCTCTTGTGTGAGACTAACACTGATTCGACCTGAAAAAATCCAAACTGTAAGATACATTTCAATATTTTATATCATACATTACGGAATTTCTTGTTTACTTATTTTCATCCTAAAATTAGTACCCAATTATTTCGGCGGTTCTATAAAACAGCAAACAAGAAATAAATCAGGAAAGTGAATAATTTATATAATTCGAATTTACTTTTTTAACAAAAAATAAAAAAGTGCTAAAACTATAAGCTTATAGGACGTTTGCTAAAGTTTACATGTACACATAAAGTCACAATGAAATGTGTTATTGGCTTTATTTAACCTCGCGTGATATAAAAATATGGAAACGGGAACATTCTTTTCAATTGTCTGCCCTTGAATTCGTTTTTTGTTGCTGTTGTTTGAAATATTTTTATTTGTTTTTTTTTTTAAATATCTAACTCTTAATGACAATATTTTTTTTAAGAAATTAAATTAAACATTTTAATATATTTTCTTTTTGCAGTTTTTGCAGAGATGCCGAATTATAATTAAAAATAAACGAAAGCACTCTTTATCAATTCAATAACTCTTGCTCAAAGAATAAAAAAGTCAGTAATTTGAAAGTAAAAACTATAGCAACAAACTTGCTTTTATCGCGATTTATCTTCCTTGAAATAAACAAAAATATCAAGTTCAAGGGGAGATAACTCAAATAATTAGATCGACGACCTCATTTTATTTGGTTAAAAATGGTCACGTTATCATATTAGATCATCATGTTAGTGCCGTAAAACAGTTTTCTTGCTGGGTATTTGAAATGACTATAGTATTTTTTTTTATAAAAGTTTAATCGCGTCATTTAAAGCCTCTATTATGTCCTATACTTTAGGTCAGTTGGTAACTTCATTGTATTTTCAAAGATAATCCGGCTTAGAGGATTTAATGGCATTACTTATGCCCTAAAGGTAACTCATTTTCGTAAAAATAGAAACATTAAAATGTGTATAAATTTCTCAAGATCTATAAAATGTTATTGTATATTTAGGTTGAATAAGCGTCATAATGCTCTGCTTTATAGTGAAGTATAAGTAGAAAAGAAAACAACTGACCACTAACTACTGTATATACGTTTTGCGTAAAAAACTCCTTATTATAATAGTTTTGCACAAGATAAGAGGCGTATGTTTATATATAACTTAAATATTGAATTACAATGTCAGTCAATTATAGTCCTCCATGCACATACACATACTTATATAAATACGGGGCAGTTTGCATTTTACTTTGAAGATATAAGTTATGAATGATAAAAATACTTAGTAAAGTAATATAATAAATGATTATGATATGTAAGTAACGTCGATCAATACTAACACAAGTGTAGGTACACAGCATAACATAATTATAGGTTACAAATTAGAATTTTGATGATTTTAAGAGAAGAATAAGGAATAAACATATATCATGAATGGTTGCTGCCTTAAAATAATAACTGGCCTTCGTCACCAGTGTATAGCCAGGCAAGCATGAACCCCAAATTTCTGGGGAAGTTAACTCGCATCCGAACTCCAAACAGTGATTTTATTGAGCAATAAAATCACAGTTTGGGATAGGCCTATATCATTTCTTAAATATTTTACCTCATGTCAGTTTTGTATGAAATTTTACGAAACTAAACCAAGCGCGTAGAAAATAGTTCTATACAATTTTGAAATGCATCATATAATTTCTGGTTTTGTTAGGGACACTATAAAAGTCACATGGCGACTTTACAGTTTTCCTGGCGCAAGGTACATCTGAGTTAACGTACTATTGCTGGATGACTTACTGGCGTGAAAGAATCCAATCGCCCTTTGAGGTCCCGTGCCCGATTTCTGGTTACCCAGTGTATTTATTGTAGATCTAAATGTGTAAATTTAATGCTTTTGATGACTAGATCGAATGCATAGTTGTTTTAATAGTAAAGTATGAGAATAATCAATATGACACATTGACGATAAGAAAAACAGAAGCGGTCAAACCTTTCACAAAAATATAATGTTTTCACTATTTATTGAAGACCGATATCATTGTTGACTGTAAGATTTACGTTCGTGATCTCTTCGGAATCACGAGTTTACATTTTTCTAAAGTTCGTTATTGCATTGGGAAGAAAAGATAATTTTACATTCTACGAAACAGCTACTGATGCCGATGGGACGGGAGTGCGACAGAGTTAATTGGGAACTTAGGTGCGGGAGTCTCAAGTACGCAGTGACGGCTTTGAAGGGCAGACTCTGTTCGGCACCAACAGTCAGGACTTATTTCCCTAATGACTGTCATTTAGGTGTTCATTGTTTGCTGAACGGTGACCTACTTGCAGCTCAAAATTCATGTCTTTAGCTTATACTCTGTGAAAATTACACAGAAGTAAATTATAGCCATATGCGCGTGTCCGGGATACGCAAAGGAGAGCAAAAGTTTCTCTCCGATGCAACTGTGTCTTAACGGGCGGATGTACCCTCACGAAACAAAAACATCACTCATTCATGCATTCGTTATTTTGATATCTGTGTCTGTTCGAAGTAGGATTAACCCTTTCTATTTGAATTTTAAGCTGTCTAGTATCAAATTTAGGGAGATAAACGACGATTACGACAAACTGGACGGATATGAATACTAGCTTTTCACTGTTGACAACAGCCGTTAAATGTTAAAATAATTAATATGCTATATGCGATATAATGTCATTTTCAAATGTACATTGTTTGTTAGTTTACTTGTCGTCAATGTAAACTTATACTAACCTCTATGTTTGCTAACTTCATAAATACACGAGCTTTCGTTCGTGATCTCTCCACCACCGGAAGTGTTTGAAGTCACTAAATTCCTTATCTCCGAAAAAGAAGAGTTTGATGATACCATTACTCTAAAAAATGTTTTAGTTTCTTTATCAAAAAGGTATGTTTGTGAGATATGTGTAAGTATTATAAATATAATAAGTACTTTTGTACATTTTGTAATCTTTTCGATCTTTCCTCCCGCTTTTAGCATGGTTATCTTGCAGGTTGTGTATTGCTAGATATAGAAATAAAACACTGATTCAAAGAAAAAAACAAAAGCACGGTTGCATTCAATATACATGTCCAAAAATATCCAGTCAAATGACTTATTATCTTAAAAACAGCGTCCAATATCTAATACAGATGATTGATCATTTCATTTCATTTTAAACTCCATAATGCAAGTTTATCACACAATATAGGGAATAACTTTTCGTCTTTATTAGACTTTAAACCAATCTTATTTCATCCGAAATGTTTTACACATATGCGGATTAAGTTAAATCCCAAATTTTCAAATCTATTTTTCTTGCGTAAGTAATCCCAAATAATATCATACACTTAAACGTTATTTCATGCTTAATATTCTCTTGGGCGATTTATAAAAATGCCGTTATTTTATTTCCATTGGCAATCTGTAATTTGAATTCCATTTGTTATTGTAACGAAGATGAATTTCAATAATAAAATGCACTTGTTACAATCCGGTATTACGGCTGCATATCAACATCAAAATATAACTTCGAAGCTAAATCAGTGGAAGAATTCAAAACTGTATCCTAAAACAGTGTCGAAGGCTTTTTACACTTGGTATCGCCACTATACATGTATAATAAAAGTTTATTACATATTTTGTCCAATCAAGAAAACATGTCTGTACGCATTAATTTACTGTAGACACCGGATATTTCGTATAAACAAATCATCGTATCAAAAATGGCGAATTTTAATTAAAATAACAGCGAACATAGATGTCTATCAAAATATAAGTTCAATCAAATAAATCCAAATTTATATTCTACACCTGAAAATATTATCATTTGTTTACCGTTTATCTCATTTGTTTACCGTTTATCTCATTTGTTTACCGTTTATCTCATTTGTTTACCGTTTATCTATTTGTTTACCGTTTATCTTATTTTCTTAAGCCATATTTAATTTCTCATTTAATTAAATAAAAATACGATAAAAATGAAGTATCTATGTAAATTCTAATTTGGAATTTAAATCTCTATATCCTTCACAATTTTTCTTTGATATTAACAAATAAATGATAGTGGTTTGTTAAATAGTTAGGTTTTTTTAAACTGGCCAGCTGCTATAAACATTAAATCATAGAATAAAGTCAAACAGACTTAGTATAAAAGTTCTTGTTGACATAACTGGACACATCATCTGAATAAAACGGAAAGTTATATTGTGTTTCTACAATCAATCAATATTGCAAATAATATACAATTAGGCCAATGGACGGTCACGAACTCTCATAGTTAACGTCATTAGTAGACATCGAGTAATATACTAACAAGTTTCTTTTCGATTAAATCTTTTGTTGGGGTTAAAGTCACACCGACTATTAAAAAGAAAAGGTTATACATGTATAGTTTTACGGGTAGAGGAAGATTATACATTATTTCAGGCACGAGCAGGCACGTGCACATGCGTAGAACTACGGACGTTCCCTTGATCAAATGAAATAATTCAAAGTCCCTGACATAGATCAGTTTGATAAGTTCATTTTTTCAATATCCAATAAGGCCATATGGTCCATGAGGATATACAATGCATTTTATATGGCAAGACAGTATATCGCATAAATACACAAAAAATGAAACAGCAGAGAAGGTTTATAAATAATAACATGTTGAAATATCCTGATAATAATAATGCATCTGTAAATAAACATTCCCATGTAGCATACACAAATATTGCTTGTGCAATTTATAGTTGATATATGTGTCCCTAATTAGTATATGACATCGATCAGATACCGAAATCTACTCGGGTATATTGTTTTTTATTTTAAAATAAAAAAAATTACAGTGGTTTTAGACAATATCGAGTTTTATTTAAATTATCAAATTTGTCAAATCTAAGATACTTTGAATTTTGAGTGCGGAATATATTGTTAATTCCGAGTAAAATGTAATATGTTTGTCTGTCTGTCTGTTTGTTTGTCCTGTTCTGTCCTGTCCTGTCCTGTCCCCTCAGATCCTACCCTATCTACGGGATACACATTAACAAGTGGTCGTACAAGAGATATAAAGACCTCAACAGACGGTAAAAGTTTGAAGTAAAATACTTAGATGTACAATCAAATCTTAATGTGTGACTACTATTTCTTGAATTTGTACAACTTAATACTAAATTTCCAGGATAGAACATGTTCTATCTTGTAATTCTTGTTGTAAAGACATATCCCACGATGACAGGTGACAGATTTTCAAATATCTATTTGGACAAAAATATAAACATAGTAGTAAGATGTTGAAATAATTATTTGAGAGCACTCAAGTTGTGGCATGTCCGAATCGGAAATTACTTAGAAAATGATTATAGACTAAAAAACATAAAAGATAGACTACGTTAAAAGATATTGATAATTACAGTCTCTTTGTAAATGTAAGATATACGAGCTTAACATGAAGTAGCTAAGTTACTATAAGTGGTCACAATATAAGTACATAGTGTAATTAAAAAGAAAAACTGGCTGTTTTTTGTTTGTTTGTTTGTTTTCTTTTTTAAATTTTATTTGACTAGTCATAGGGAACGCAGCTTCCCATACATGATATAATTTATTGATTCCTTTATTTATATAAGACATATTCAGTAAGAATTTTATAGATTTCAATACGTTTCTGGGATAAAAAATATTTTTCTCAAGGATGAGCATAGTATATATTTTAACAAATTGAAGACGTTCCATTATTATTCAATAAGAAAAAATGATTAGAAATAATTATTCACCGCAAGGCCAAAGTATTGGACAGGCTTAAAAGTGCTCAGTTACTTTCTTCATTCCAGGACATGGTAATTGCATAAATGCTCCCTCCATGTTATCCACAGCTTAACCTTTTGGCCAACCACTTAACCAATCTTCTAAATTGGTCAATACCAACAGTATAGCATTAACATATACATGTATATAAATTGTACATTATATCTTTAATATATGTTGTATAACTAACTCCTACCGTCTGTTGAGGCCTTAATCGATATTACATTTTGATTTATTGCAGATCTTTCTCGAGTTAAACAACAAAGTTTGCCACCCGATTTTGTATCTGAAAAAAAAGTCTTTGCAGATAAGGTGTTTGAACTTTGAACATATATAGAAGCAGGGTGGCAGGGTTGACTTTAAAGGTATCGTAGTCAAATCGATTTAAGCTTTTTATTTATTTAACACTTTGATGTTACTTTCATCGAAGATTTTACTGTGACTTTATTAGTCCTCGGAGTTATACCGCCAATAGCAACTTGTCGACCCTTTCCATTTTTCTGCGGACACAATAGTATGAATAGACGTAACGGATACGGTATTTCGGTCCAAACTACCATGTTAACAAATAATAAATAAATGGTTGGATTTGTTGACTTTATTCAATTCATTATATCGTGTTTAAGTCGACTTTAGAAATAAAAGTAAAGCATTATTTATACACTTATTGTTACTTTTTAAGGAACCAAACATACATATAACCAACAATTAACATAATTTCGGATTTGGTTATAATGTCAACCGACATTATTTAATGGAAAATTGATTGTAAAACATAGTTTTCAATTATAATATTCGAAAAATTCAAGAGACTTAAACTTTTTCTGAAACAAAGTCGTGAAATTTGGGATCGCCATAATTCTTTTTGAGAAAGAGTAATATGCCCCTAATGCCCCGGTCACATATTCACGGATAATGCCACGGAAGAGCTACGGTCTAATTGTTTACGGATTACTACGGAAATGTGGAATTCTGTAGTCCGCTACGGTTCCAGTACGGACACACAACGGTATGAGTAAGGAGTCCGACGGATTTTCCACCAAAAGCTCCCGGAGAGATACGGACTGTTACGTACCGACACGGTTTGATACGGAGCGACACGAATCAGGACGGACGCACTACGGATACACTACGGTCTGCTACGGTATAAGCACGGGTTAGTGCGAATAAGTACGGATTGATACGGAGAAGGACGAATTGATGCGGAGAAGAACGAATTGCCACGGATCTATACGGACCTAATACATCCGTCCAGAACCTTTTGCATGCTCATTTTCAAAATGCCTCACAAGAAAAGAACACTTAGTAAACGAATTGCAGATTTCAATGATTTTGGCGGAGAGGATTCAGCCTAACCGCCTCCGACCTCCGAGACACATCAGGTCCGATTAAAGGACGCTGGATCCTCAACAACTTCGGCCATGAGAGCCTCATACTAAACATGAAGTGGTTTTTGTAAAAGCCCATCTCTAGTCCACCATCTCGTCTGTCTTATTTTACCTGATTAGATATGGACTAGTAAGCATTAATGAAAACTGTTGATCAATACTGCTTCTCTATTAATTTTAAAATTTGTTGTTCTTTTTACAATTACATTAATTATCGTGAATGTTTATGTTTTAAAAATATGTAAAAAGCTTGTTAATTAATCTTATAATCACTCAAGGGCCAGCGTCCGAGGCTTATGAGACACTTCGTTTTATGTACAAATTTACTCCAAGTTCACGATCCAATGTTTGTAAAATATGTAACATTAAATGTTATTCTATTCCTTATGAAGTGAGGTACGATATTATTATATTCTACCTACATGCATGTCATCAAGCAGCTCGACCACTGCCCCCGCATTCTGAGTCAGTTCAATATAAAGTTGCAGCCAGTAAATGGCAATTATCATTTATTGAATGTTCCCGCAAATATGTCTGTTTTTAACAAGAAGGTAGTATTTATACCCTTGAAAAAGTACATGCTGTTACTAAATACATCCGTACTAAACAGTGGTGGACCGTACAATTCCGTACCGTTTCGTGTTGCAACGCAATAAACCGTATAAGACCGTGCTAATCCCTGCCTCTCCGTAGTACAACGTATTACGATCGTGGCTTTCCGTGACAATGTCGTATTAATCCGTATTAAAACCGTAGCTTATACGTAGGGTAAACGTACAAATACGTAGTTCTCCGTACTAAACCGTGGAAATCCTTGACAAGTTGGTGGACTACGAATCAGTACGGACTAGTACGGTTTTCATACGGACCAGTACGTATCAGTACGGTTTAATACGGACTAGCAGGGACACGCTACGGTTGATTTTTCCGTGGCGAATTTTTGTGCATGTTCAAAAATTGTCAAGGATCGCTACGGATATACAAGGACTACTACGATTGATTACGGTTACAATACGGAGAGCTACTGACCAGTACGGGTAGCTACGGACGATGCCGGAATTAATCCGTGGCTCTTCCGTGAGCGTATTCCGTGAATATGTGACCGGGGTATTACATTGAGTATTTTCAATCATAATCTAGGGCATTTTTCAATAGCGGATAACTAAAATCAAGCACACCGATATCTTATTCTATTTCGTATTTTATTAATTTCTAATTAACTCTTTAATTCACTTTCAGTGATAATGGCCCCCAGACCATTAAGGACATTTTCAGGCCATTATCGCATAATGGCGAACAGCAACTAAGTATTAACCTCTAAATAATTGTAAAATAAACATGTTGAAATAAATAAGGTGCAAACGCACCTTCAATACTTGTGTTTCTGTATACTTTTCTTTCATTCGTTTTTTTACTTCATTTCTTACAAGTTTTTAACTTTAATTCATTTAGAAAAATAATCCAAATACTAGATGGATTAAATAAACAAATTATTAGAATGTATACAATAATGTTGGCCCCTTTATTCTCGCCGCAATAAATGTGATATTATTACAAGAGATAAAATTTACAATTCAATGACTTAAGCTTAACGTTATCACTGCTAAATACTGTTCAAACCGTTCACCATTTTACAGATAGTTTCAAAATATGAGCAGACTGAATAGCGATCAGTGCAGACCATGATCAGGCTGTACGAATGTGTCATCTGATCTTGGTCTGCACTGGTCACATGGGTAAAATCAGTTGTAGCCAGCAGGCTAAATGATTCAGGCGTCTTGATCTGAACTTAAAAAGATTTTTTTCATAGTTATCCGACCTATATGCAAAGATTCAAGTTGAATCTTGATTCAATTACACAAATTGGCAACAATAAGAGGTTAAAACTGTATTTTTGTGCCATTCTTTGCCCGATCTGGGCGGAAAGCGTGGCAAACTATTCCGATTAGGGACATTTTTTTCACAATTAGAAAAACAATTCTGGAAACACGGAGTGAGAGAATGTTCTAGCATATTTCTGGAGTGCAGATATTTCTTTGTTTCAAAAAAATAAAATATAAAAAAAAATATTTTGTAACATACAGTCAGAAGATATAGCATTATAACTGTTATACGAGTTTTTCTAAGAATTAAATGTGTTATTTTTAGATAAATTGTTACATATAATTGTCAAAACAAAATAATAAAGCCGGAAAATGAAATTTGCTGTGTATCGATACATCTATCTGCAGGTCCTCTCTCTATAGCTGGAAATTCGTTTCTCAATCTTCTATTTTTAGAAACGAACGACACTTGTGCGTTATAAATAGCTCTCGGGCGCTTTCTTTGGAGAACGCTAAGTGATATGATGGCCTTTTCCAAGATAAAGTTACTGTTACTTACTGTAATACTTATTTCGAATTGTTTTTTTTTTCTTTTTTTTCGAACAAAAAAATAAAAGCTGAAGACCGCTTTAAATGATTTGTCAGTTATATATTTGTCTGTTTTTATTGTCAGATAATATCAGCAAGAAAAATTATTTTTGTAAAATTAATACATATAATATCTGCCTATCTTTAAGATGAATAATCATAAACAAACACATGCAAATTGATAACTATTTTTTATGAAAGATATCCCTGTGGATAATTATTTCAATTGATCAATTTAAATGATTGGCTAATGATATACCGTTGTAAACGTCTAGCTAACACCACAAAAATATAAAGATGACATTTCTATATAACATTACACAATAAATCTAATCGGTTTAAGTACCAAAATTTTCTAAAATAGCTGCCCATGCTGTTTCCATTTCAAAAACGTCATTTGTGGCTATAACTAAATTGTCACATTTACTGTTCTGTTCCCGTAGACATTTCATAGCCTCGTCGTTCTTAGGTGCCATGCACTCAGTTTCAGATCTATACTTTAACCCTGGTATATTATGCATAACATAGCCAAATAATAACACATCATCATAAGGAAAGAATGGAGTTCTCATAGCAGACTCATATAACGATGGTATTATGTCATTTGTCATACTAACAAACTTGCCTTCGCAATATCTTTCATAACGAGCTTCACCTCTGAAATGATCTTCACTCACAAACCATTTGCTTGTTTTGTTTCTCTGAACTCTTCCTTCAATCAGTTCACAGAAAACGTTTATAGATTGCAAGACTGTGTCAACTTTTTGAAAATAGAGAAACATATTTATAACAAAATCGTCGTCAACTTTCATTATCATTTTAGCGTTTCGACAGCGTTCAGTTATCCACTTAAAACCCATGACACCTTTGTGTGTAAGGTTCAAATAAGTATCAATAAAGTCACCTTGTAAGATGTCCCTAAAAGCTTCAGCTTCTTCTTCTATACCTTCTTGAACTAATGGGTTAGCGGTCATCCCTAAAAGGAATAAAACTCTGACGGTGCCCAAATGAGAATAATATTTGTTATTGGTCCATGTTTTTCTGATAGCTAGTCTTCTGTCAAAGTGCTCAGTCCCTGAATTTACCACAACAAGAACACTTAAATCATCTTTAACGGATGTACATAAATCTGGATTCTCAATCAAGTACGTCACGTTATATGGATATCTTGGGTTTGTCCAGTTGATGAGTTTCTCTAAATTTGGCGCCATTTGAATTGTATAATTCCCATAAGCTTCCGGTCCAAATGTTTCCGGTCCAATTTGTTTCGGTCGTTTTACTTTTTGCAATCGTTCTTTATTTATAGCTTGAGTAGTAATATCTATTCTTGATCTAACATAAATTATAAAAAGAAACGCAGTCACAAAAAGTGATACTTTATAATTGTTTTTATTTATACGAATTCGCAGTATCTTACTGAAATACCGCTTTCTAATTATGTTTGTCATAATATCTTTTCACCTTTCAGTGTATTCGAGTTTTCTTGCTAATCACAGTTCCCACGAGGACACTAATAAATGTTAAACTCGTTATTCAATTATTCCGATTTCAACCACTTTTATTACAGTCGATTTTTTTCTTTACACATTTAAACGTTTACCGTTCCATAAAAATGTCCTCCTTGATGTTCCTTTTATTTTCAACTGGCATAACTATTTGCCATTGTTGTTTAAATTTACCAGAAACTTCAACTGTTAAACTATAAGTATCAAGTACTTTATACATTTATTCATACATCAAAGAAAACAGTGTTGTTCATTAATATATGATAAAAATTGTTAAACTAAACCTATATACAAATGTATAATCGGCAGATAAACGAAAATACTATCCTAAAATATGTTTGTTCTAAAGATTTACGACTTTACATTCCGTACAATTCTGTATACTATTTTTCTTTATCCATTTTCTTTCATAAGAGAGTTTAATTTGCCATAAATGACTGTTTTTTATTTCATTAAGAAATAAAAAGGACCAATCTTATGTAAATATTTCTCTTTTAGGTGTTAAATCTTTCTAGAGTATTTTGAAAATGTTTGGATATCTTAATTAATTTACATCCAACGCAGCTTATGTTAACAAAACGAAATTATATCTGTTTCAATCGAAAGAATTCCCACAACTTGGTCAAAATCGCACAACAGGGTCAATCAAGCAGCACACTATCAACAACAATCAACAAAGTGTTAATTTATTGTGTGTTCTATTTTATTTATTAAAATTTCGCGTATCAAATATTTTATATAAGGCTAACTGGCCAATATCAGCATTATCAACGAAGCGAATATGTTGAATAAACTTTGTAATTTTTACATCTATTATTAATGTCATTATTATTATTTTGTTGTTGTTGTTGTTGTTGTTGGGATGTAGGGAGCGATAGTTTGGGTAGGGAAGTGAGCGTTGGTCATGATTATGATTACCTTTTCGTTCACTACACGAAAACCTGTAAGTGACCATAATTAAACCTCTTGTTCCTAATTTTGCTTTAGCATGTACATACATTTTATAAGAGATATTTCATATATCAATCTTGTGTTACAACAGATTGACCGCGCTAAAATAATTTTACAACGATTTGATTGACATCTTTCATGAACAAAACAACATCGTTTTTATTTAGTATGCGGTCCATTTTATATTTTGTGTAGTTGCTTCACTGTTTTGATACGTAGATTGACAGCAAATTAAAATCAAAGAAGCCACCGACTGCTCTTGTTTTTCATCTGACTTGTATCACTATAGTTATATAAATATCTTGATATTTCTTTAAGAAAACCAAACTAGAAAATATCATTGCTTTTTAAATATCTTAATTATTTTTTCAAGAAATTTTCCACAGATGTTTAGCTTTACATATATTAAAGTTTAATCACGCTTTATTGTTCTTAACATTTATTGTACATTTTATTTTATGACAGTGTTAATATTTTAAATATAAGGAAATTTCAATTAAGAGCATTCACCTAAGTATGGATATTTTCCCCATATAAAACTCTCAATAATGGATACTCTCGCGCTGCGATTCTTTCAATAGGTACAAGTAGAGATTTTGATGCTAAAGCATCTAGTCGCCGGATATCGACTGTATTATCATAAATATAAAAAAAAATCAGTTTAATTAATGGTTCAGGTATAAAGAAAAGAGGAACAATTTATGTTGAGTAACTGTTTATTCACAATAAAACATCATATATGAAGCAAACTTGCTTAGCAATATTGTCAAGGAACTGCTATGATTATTAAGCAAGTATTTCGTACGTTAGTTTACGTAACTTATTATGATTTATGCTAAAGATTTTATTGATAGTATAGATCTCGATATTAAATTAATTAATATTGCTCGATGGCCAACAGGTGGTAAGTATAGGACGAAGTTGTGACCTAGTAGGCCAAATTCGAATCTTTGAAAATCCCTTTTGCAGTTTTCATAAAACTATTTTTTGCGCTATCGAAAAAATAAATTATTTAGTTGAAATCAATATTCCTGTCGTTATATACATACGATATAGTAAACGTTTAATTGCCTTTCAGTACAAAAGATATTTTATTAGTTTTCTTTATTATGTATCTAATACGATCCGTCGTACCGTTTTGGTAACCTGCGCGACGGAAATCGACGGAATATAACGAAGACGACGATTACCACCTTTTATTTCAATAAATGTGCCTCTTTAGCATAAATCTATTTTGTGATGTTCAACCTAAACTAAACTATTGAACGTTGACAGAAAAAATAAGAAAAAAAGGTAAAATTTAACCCTTTACCAAGATAAAATGAAAAGGTTTTGAAAATTTATTTAATTCTTTAATGTGCTAATCCGTTCTAATGATATAAAATATGAAACTGATTAATGAAAGATAACTTTTTATTTAATTTTACCCATGAAATATGGTGCTATATCAGTCAAATATATTTCATATTTTTTTTAAATAAATATGAAATATAAATATGAAAGTGGGCGGAGTCAAAACTCATATTTATTTTAAGGGACTTCTTTCGCCATTTCGTTTGAAAAATCTGATAAATACAAAACAACTTTTTCTTGAATATTGTTTTGAAAACTTTCTAGCATGATAGAAAATGGTCTAACTAAGAAAATTAATCCGAACACCAATATCTTTAATTCAGTAATTAACGCTGTACAGACGTTTAAAGAGTTGTTTACATGACGTCACAATGTAGCGCCAAACAGCGCGTGCTTACGCATAAATTACTGCGCGCTGTACAATTGCAGTTGGTAGCAAGCAAGGGGTTTCGGTACCATTTTCTTTGATAATGAAATTAAATAAAAAGGTTATTTTTTCGTTTTTCGTGAAATATGGTATATATTTTCACTCAACATGATAAAATGCCACATATTTTCACTCGCCGTACCGGCTCGTGAAAATATGTGGCATTTTATCATGTTTCGTGAAAATATATTCCATATTTCACGCAAACGAAAAAATATCCTCTTAGTATTTATTTATACATTTGCATCTAATTAGCCGCCATACCGTTTTCTTATCAGCAATCTGTTACTATTTATAGATTCTATAACACTAACATACAACGTGTAGTCACGTGATTCTTACAAATAGAACAGGGAGAATCTGTTTATAATTAGATAAAATAACGAAATATAATAGGTGTCATAAGATATAAACAACCAGATAATTTAAATGTGTCATTTTAAATATCATTCATGATTTATCAATTATAAAATAGCAACGCTTGACACTTAAAAAAAGTAAAAGTATCCCTAAATTCAATGACTGGTCCATAGGGATACGTTATTAATTCATTTCATGAAAATTGTAATGTTGCTTTTTAAGATGTCAATATTTGTATATTTCATTTCATTTAGCAACGTTAATTTATTTTTGAATTTTTAAGATTATGAAAAATAATTGTGGTCCTTAATTGTTCAGTAATTGATTTGCTTTTATTTTCAGGTTTTAAGGCCTTCTCCTACTATAGATATAATATTAAACTGTTACAAATATAGTCGCCGGTTTCTACCGGCGACTAATAATAAAAACATACCTAATACGTCTGTATCACTACAATAGTTGTACATGTATATATATATTTGTATTAAAATAACATCAAATAAATCTACACAAACATTAACTAAATGAACTAAGTGTTTTTATTCATGAAAAACGAATAGAAATGTCGACATAGCTCAGGATATGAATATATATTTCCTTCTTTAGAAGGGGCAAACTTGATATTTATAGCCTTTATATTTTAAGTTATAAAGACAGGTTACCATGATCCCAAATAAACGATTGTTTGCAAATATAACCGTGTCGCTAGGCGAACAACCGTTTAATTTATATATGACCATATAACACGTCAAAAATCTTTATCACGTATTTATAATACAACAAGAAACATTCTTTACTCTGGAAAATAACATTGTGAATTGACAGTAGCCATGTTTATAGTTTATATCAAACGTTACGATTATCCAATGAAACGAGCAGAAATTCACAAACTAAATAGATCCCTAACACCGTATACATTCAGTAACGCAGGATTGTGCAAATAACGCAGGAGTTGTGTTAAAGTTACGAAGAATTGTGCAATTCAGTGTCATAAACGAGCACAACGGAAAGTAAATAAACCAAAATTGTTTTTATTGAACATCAAAATGAAAGAAACGAATTAGCACATACATTTGCTGAGACATCATATTTTAAACCTCATCAAAAATATTTCCTTGAAAGTATTTTTCAAGATCACTTGTGACTATGGCGCATTAGTGGCGACTTTTGAGTTTCGAAATTGTTTGAGTCGTCGAAATCTTTAAATACAATAACGTATCTATAAAATTATGGTAATTGCTCCATAGATACCTAGGAATTTGCCAAAGTGCTCTTAGAAAGTAGCTTATAAAATGTGGCTGATTGACCCCGAACTCCTGGAGCGACGCTGGCTCCCTCATTACAAGTATTACCTTCTTCCTTCTTATTTTATATGACTAAAGTATTTTTGCAAATGTGCATAATTTATCTAAAATAAATAAAAAATGGAGTTTAAATACATGACTTTATTTATTAATTCCGAGGAAACACAAAAATCGCCTTCAAAACGGTAGCCGATTCTTTATTCTTGTTCTAAAAAAGTAAACATATTCCTGGAAAGTTTTTTTGGGTTAAAAATAGGCATAGCACCCCGTTTGCGTTATTAATTTCGTAATTTTTGATTTGGAAAAATATTTGGGTCCGTTTCCCCTGTTAAATATTTTTGTCAAAGCGGGGCCCTATTCGGGTTCATTTTTATTTGCCAGTTTTGGTTTACGGGATATAACGTGAAAAAGAGGTAACTTTTTGTATTGTGGGCTTATAGGTTTAAAGTCTTTTTCATGACTTTTCAAAAACTTGTGAAAAGCTATAAAAATGACGACATGATAAAAAATTTTTTAAAATGTAATCAGATTTTTTTTTAAAATTTAAAAGGGAAATTTTGGTTTACATAAAATTTTTGAAAACCTTGTAATGTACAATTCTAAAGCAAAAAAAAAAAGATGATTCAGGAAATTTGGGTAAATGAAATAATTTCCCTTTAAAAGGTGACCATTAAAAATTTGGAAAATTTAAAAAATAAAAAAATTTGGGACTAGATTTTTGGACTTTTTTTGTGTTATCCAAGTTGTGATGCTTTTTCCATATTTATATTTTTATTTATTTTGTACTTATTTCAACTTTTAAAAATTTTTTCCCAAAATTGTTAGGCAGGGTGTCAATAGTGTTCATATTTATGACCCCCAAATGTTATGTTTTGGGAAAGAAGCCGACAAAAATTAAAAAACCCTTGATTCAAAAATACTTTTGTGCACCCCAGATCTATTTTTCCGCGGGCTTTTTTTAAAAGACGCCCCTTGGGTTCCCTGTTTGTGAAATAGAACCTTTTTCAAAAAATAAAAATTATCAAAAATTTAAAAAAGGTTTTCTAGTAAAATATTG